TATTAAACACACATAAAATATCATTTTTATACCGCCCCCCCCCTCTAAGTGTATCTAAACAGCTACTGATATCCTTGTTTGTACTGCTTTTAAATTTCTTATTTTTGAGTCCACCATACTTAGCTGAATTTTTTGTTCTCAGTTTCAAACAGTTATTAGTGCAAAAAGGATAAAGGTCTACTTCATGTTCGACGTAGATTGGAAGCATTTTCAAGTGTTACTTTGCTGGGATTTAATTGATTTCAAGGTCGATTAGGAAATGACCTCGGTTAGAGAACCATTAAATATCCTGGATTCGATCCCCAGTGGGGTTATGAGTGAGTACTGGTGAAAAGTGACAAACTAAGACGAAACAGTTGTCCAGTACTCCCTGATTCTCAAGTTACCACTGAAACTGGCTGGCGGTAGTGCTCTCTACCGTGGATTGACAGAAGTTAGAATTCATCGGTTGTTGGATTGGTGGACATCTTTTTCTAAGTTTTCTAGAAAGAAAGAAAACAAACGTCATTCCTACATTACATGTCAATATTTTGGTTAAGCAACATTTAACTAACAACACTGGAAATCAATAATTCTTTTGTCGGATAGAACAAAATACAATTGTAAAAGTGATTTAGCGATTGTACTTAGTTTTATCTAAGTACAATAAGTTGGTCAAAAACATTGTGGAGTATTTATTATTAAGTGAGGTGCCTTGATTGTATGTGTTGACTTATGTCACATTAATGCTTCCATCTAAAACACCAATAAATGAAGTAGGATTAGATATGATCAGATCAAATATTTAAAGCAATTAGTTTCCTTTATGAATTTCGACAACACAATAAGAAGACGTAGTTTATCTGAAACGTGTAATCTATTGGCTCAACACATTTCGGACATTCTGATCACACACGTACTTGTCATACACAATTTTATAGAAGGCAAGAAGGCATGAATAATTACAATACAGGTCAGATTGTGTACAGGTCAGGGTCACAAATAATGGGTAAGGAGACGCAAAAGTTTTGGGTAAGAAAGATAGGAAGAGAAAAAACAAGGCAAAGAAGGGGTTGAAAAATTATGGACCTTGGTTCCGAATTGGATTACCAAGGCAGGTTTAAAGTGATAACAAATTATTTTTGGACACATAAGACGGGTTAAAGTCCTTTTATGGCTAAGGCTTCGATGAATTTAAGTATGTGGCCCAACCTTGTTTTATATATCGGCTGAAAGGCAATGTTGAAATCAACCTTATGACCCATCTCTATAATATGCTTCGCTATAGATGATGTTGGACATCTATTTCCGGGTTCAATTGTGTCTGGCGATTTCATTTGTTATTGAAGCCACTTCGGAATGTGTTCTGTAGCCCTAACCTGCAGAGACCGATGGGTCCCCCCTATGTACGTGTTTCCACACATACATGTAAATTGATAAACACAGTGGGATGTGACACTATCGTTCGGATAATGTGAGGGTTTACAGGACAGCACAGTTCTCGTTTTCTCTATGAAGATAAGTTTAGCTGCATAATAGGTTCTATTAATTGCGGTCTTGAGTCTTTGTCTAGTGACTAGACTTTGTTGATCACCTTTTTGGGAGCTGATTGGATTGGTAAAGCTCTATGGTTGACACTTCCGTAACGTCTAATAAATCTCAGTGGGTAATTGTTATCTAACAATATTTCAGTGGGGTATTGTCTTTCTTCTTCAATTGTATCGGTGAATGCGCTTGAACAAACATTTAACCAACGTCTTTTTATACTGTAGTGGGCAGAAACTATGATAATTTAGATACTGTCCCGTCCATGTGGACTTTCTGTAGACAGATCGTTTTACTGACCCATCTTCTCGTCAGGTTGTGAGTACATCTAAAAATGACATCTGTGCATGAATACACTTGCTGTTAAACTAAACCAAAGTATGCAGGGTGTATGGTTGCGGACATCAGGATGTTAAGCATCAGTAAATCAGTATTCCTAGTGAGATGGCTAAAAAATTTTGACAATCACGAGGATGTGGAAGCTGTGAATGCCTGCATTAATCCTCACCTAGTGATTCTCTCCTTTAAAAAACACACGTTTGTGCACTGAATTATCGGTTCACTCCTTTTCTTCTAACATTAAGACTATTTTTAGAAGTGTTGCCGATTTGAATTGATGCACATCTGTGCAAACGCCTACAGTTTCATTAGTAAATCATAAATTACCAATTCTAATGTTGTGAGGTCTTTAAGGCGACCAACTGTTACATACACAAATTATAATAAGATTTCAAGCAGAAGAGACAGACAGAGAAAGCGCGCGCGAGAGAGAGAATGAGAAAATAACGATTTCTTAATCTATAAAATGTGTTTACTTTCCTTTGAGTAACAGCATATATTGGTGTTGTGGAGATTTCATCACTCGTCTGACGTGTGTAGTATATGCACGATAATAGAGCTTACATAAAAGCAAAGCATTACTCTCTTCATGTAAAGATTACGTAAGACTGAATTTTGTTTATTTCAGACGACTCTCACCTAATACATAAGCAAAATAAACTACATATATCTTTTGGTAGGTCGTCCAATATTTAAGGTATAAATCGTTGAAAAGAAAACACGCTTAAGTTTGTAGATAGTCCTGACAGATGAAACGATGTTAGCTGTCATACTAGATTGACTTCCTTTATGACTTTTATGCTGCGATATTAAAATCAGCTTATATTACTAGAAGTAGTAATGGTATTGATATACGTAATAACCATAATACTAACGAATAAATAATCGTAAGCAGAAGAATAATTATCTGAATGAAAGCAAACATCGACTTTATGATATATATATATATATATATATATATATTATTTACATATATTACTCCATCTTGAATTCCAGGGTAAACCTGAATATGTATATATATATTTATTAGCAGAGAACAGAATCCGATTTCGGTTAAAGAATAGGTGAAAACCTGGGACAGTAGTCTCGTCCTAATTTGCAATTCCTCACTGATATGCTGTAGATTACTAGGTGAGTTCACTAGCCATTCAGATACTGCGATGGAATCTAATGGCCTGTGAATTCTAACTGTTTCCAATTCAAGAGACAATGGTGTCACCACTGGCCAATGTCATCAGAGTGTGTATTCGTTCTGACCCCCGACATGATGGACCCCATTGGTTACAACTTCTCTCTGGAACTACACACAATTCCACTGTATAGTCAATCACTAGTGAGCATCAGATTAGTTTTCTAGTGTTCGTTTGTGGGGATTTGACTGTTTTTAAGCTAATCAACAGCTAATATCAGCTAGAGAATCCCGATTCGGGCACTCGTGAGGTCGTTGTTCCGTACTTCTGAAGGGTCCTAAAGTAGGACAAAACAGCTGCTATCGAGTACTCTCTGCAGGTTTTCAAATGCTTCTTTAACCGATGTCAGCTCATGATGACATCCTGCAACCAATCAATGCAATCCCTACCAACCAATACTTGAATGAAATAAGTCTTCTTGATAATACTGCCTTAGAAAAGTACTTAAAAATCGCCTATTTCTTGGATTATCATCTTAGCCTCGCTTCACTTTAATACTCTGCCAAACTAATTACATTATCACTATCAGTCTACTGAATTAGTTCTGGACATTGTCTTCAGTGTCACAATTCACTCATCCCTGTGTCCTACTTTTTTTTATTCCTTTACGTTCACAGTGGAACATAGGGCTTCAAGCTAATGGCTTGAAGTTTCTGCAGTAGTGTTTATTTTTACAGGATGGGGTTGCTAGTCTCATGCCCAACCTTTCCTCTTCACCAGCATTATTTCTGGCGTAGTGAGGTAAAGGAGTGCGCCGACCGGGGATCGAACCCCGGACCATGCGCATGGTCGGCGAGCGTCCTAACCGCTATGCCACCGACGCATGTCCTACTGCACAGTGCTAAAAATCAGCCATCCAGTAATGAATTGATTTTACTGTACGATATGGTTTTAGTTATGAAGAAATCTTAACAACCAGCTCCATCATTTCTCTTCATTGAAGATAAAGGGGAGAAGCTTTTGTATCACCAAACGAATTATGTAATAGAGACAGGCTTTCTTAACCATAACAGTATGCCAAGAGTTACATTTACTCTATGTGTGCGTGTATATATGTGTGTGTGTTTGATAGTATCAATGAAATTATTTGTCTACTCAGATCTTTCCATGCAGAACAATGTTATAACCCATGACCTCATGTTCTGTGCATTAGTATTCCCCTATAACAAATCATAATTGATTTTCAAGAATCGGTTTTTGTTGGAAATTTTTTATTTGATTGGTTGGAGGATTCCATCATGAGTTGACATCAGTTAGAGAACAATTAAAAATCCTGGGAGTACTGGACAGCTGTTTCGTCCTGGTTTTGGACTCTTCAATAGTACGTCTACGAGCTCACGTTGTAACCACAAGCTCTTGGGTATGAACCCCACAGTGTGGGTGCCTACTGATGAAGAGCTCCAAACTAGGACGAAACAGATGTCCAGTACTCCCAAGTTTTCCAATGGTTCTCTAACTGATTTCAGCTCATGATGAAATCCTCCAACCAACCAGATCATAGTTGAATTAAATAAACCAGTGGAACCTAGACAGGGATAAATAAATATATAGGGCTGAGTGTCACAGTTAACTAAGAGATAAACGTCCTTAGAAAAAAATTATCACTAAAGTCCTAACTAGTAAGTCATTCACACCGGAGGTCTGGGATGAGTTCCCAGAGGATATACTCCAAAACTTCTCCTAGTGTACCAACCCATAAATAACCAGTAAAAAGAGGGGAGGTTCAGAATGAGGCTAACAACCCAACTCCATAAAATCGAACAAAACCATCACTGTTACTGAAACTTCAAAGAAGCCTAAATTCCTGTAATCCACTCGGAATGCAAAGGAGTAAAATAAAAGGTTTAAAGCGATATTTAATTCTGCTTCTTTTCTTCCTTTATCAAAGAAGTAACTTGATTTACACTTAAACTAACAAATAATCTTTTTTATATTCTACATTTTTAGATTTAAACACTTTCCGCCTGATAATACAATAAAAAGGCCTACAGAAAGATAGAATGCTGATGAATCTTAATAACTTTATGGAGGCTATTTTACCAAAAACATCAACACCAACAAAAGAGGCGAATAAAACAAATTATCCAGGTAGAGAAGAAGAAGAAGACGGAGAAGGCGACAAATCAACTGATAACACTTCTATGCAAATTGATGTTGTAAATTCCTATACAAATATCTTATCACCAGTTGTTAGTCCTATTAAAAATGCTACTATTACTAGCACTACTACTACTGATACAGATATCAGTAGTAACGATAATATTAGTATCAATGACAACCAACAACATACAGTAAAGAGTAGTGAGTGTAATAATTCATCAAAGAATAATGATAATAATAATAATGACGTAACTGAAAGCAAAGCTAGTAAAGAACCTTTACAAGGTTATACACTTATCAACAATCAAGAGAATTTAGAAACGAATGAATTGAAAATGCGTCTTTTAGCTGCACTCGCGGAAATGATACCGCACGATGAAAGTTTAAGTTTACGACTGCTTATGAATTATACAATTGATGATCAAGAAAGTGAATGTGTTGTAATCGATGAAACTTTGTGTAAAGGAGTAAAGTATGAAGAAGGGAACAATCGAAATTCAACAAATCCTCAACTCAATAATAATAATGATAGTTATACAAGCTGTGAAAGTTTAACCAAAGAAAATCAGTATCATGAATCAAGTAAGGTACTCACAGAAACCTCATCTACTCGAAGTATGTCGTATGAACCAGATGCGCTAGATTTGTCCTTACATACTGAAGCTACAGAATTAGTTGATTATCATGGAGAACAATCGTCTACAGAATCAGCAGGAGACGATTACAACTTGAAGCCGAGGATTACGCCTTCAAATGTTGACGCTATTCTAAATGATATTAAACCATCCTTGAGTATCTGTTCTACATCCACTAACTTGAATACGATGAGAACACAAGAATCAGCTGTGTCAACAGCCAGTACAACAACAACAACAACAGCGACATCAACTCCAGTCAGTCAGATTCCCCTGCTTGATTCTACTCTGCTTGCACTCCTTCCATTGCTCCAACAACAACACCAGCAGCAGCAGCAACAACAAAATCAACAACAACAACAACAAAATACAAATGTTTTAACCTATCAAAGTGTATTAAATCCAAATACACTTTCTTTACTATCTACGCCTATTCCTGTATCCACTCCAACAACATTGACTACAACAAAACAAAATCCTATCACTTTTAATCTGACAGCAAATACAACATCAAATACAAATACTAATCATTTATTTTTCAATCAATTATATTCATCTAATGCTGCAACACATTTTCAACAAAATATTCATCCATCAACAAATAGTCTACTCACAACAAATTTAAGTAGTATACTGCCGAAACAAACAGAAATGATAAGTACTACTTCGACTGGAGGCATATCTAATCCTATTAATAGTTCATTAATGAACAGTGTTATAAATAATAATAATCAATCATTGTTGAATACAGCCTCTATTATCGGCTTTCCATTGTTTAATCCGTTTTCACTTCATGCTAATACAACTTCTACTATTCCTAGTAATAATAATAATAGTAGTAATAATAATGGTAATAATAATGACCAGTTTAATGGAATATTACAGCCAACATCATTTTTAAGCAGTACACCAACAATATCACAAACACTACTATCATCAACTATACCTCAGTCGGGCATTACATCATTTAATTTGAGTCCAGTAAATACAGCAACTACACTGTTCAATTTAAAAGATAAACAAACAGGTCTGATTGAAGCTGTAGGCATTTTACCAAATATGAAAAATTTAAATCAACCAATAGCCACACTGTTGAATCAGTTGGCGGTTAATTCATCTTCTAACATCAACAATAATAATAATAGTAATAACATTTCATTAAAAACTCTTTCAACATTATCCCAATTATTTTGTAATAATCTTGTGACAGCAACAACTCCTACTACTAACAATAATGGTAATAATAGTAGCGGTAATAGTGCCACTACAAATAATTTCAATATAACAAATAATCATAATACGAATATCACTATACCGGCTATAATAAATACAAATATTAATAACAATCATATTTCATTAGGCAGTGAAAATGATCCAGTAGTAGTATCTAAGAATTCTACCAAAAAATCTTCAAGTTCAGGAAAAGCCTCTAGCCGATCTAGTCCTGGGAATCCATCTAACGGTCATTCATCATCCGCTGCAACATCGAAGTTGAATTCATCAACAGAACATAAAACTGATGCAATGAAATCGTCAGCATCTGTAAGACAAATCAAAGAGTCTACAAGCAGTAATAATACAAATATAAACAGTAATAATAGTTTCTTATTCGGTCGTCGATTGACTCACAGTCGTCGATTTATATGTAATCAGTGTCGGCGGAATTTCTCTTCGCTAGCTGAATTAAATCGGCACACCATAGAAACGCATAATTCATTTCGTTGTACTATATGCTCAGCGCATTTCACGCAACGATCAAATCTTCAACGTCATTCGCTAAAACATGTCGGTTTTAAACCATTCACGTGTAATTTATGCAAAAAAGAATATTATCGTAAAGATCATTTAGTCAGACATATTGAAGTGACACATCCAACACATGATCCTAAAATGAATATCACTGTACACTTGACATCATCTGAATGCTTAGATTATTTGGATAGATTGAATGCAGGCAAACAGACACCATCGCCTATAGAGAATAGCCAGCCTGAGAATGATTTACCTGTTAGTTCTGCTACAGAGGTGACTACTGCTACTTCTACTACTACTACTACAACTAATATAACTACTGATGTTATTAGTACAAGTAGTCATATAACACCGAACATAACTGACCATGCTATGAACGGTGACGATGATTTCGATATATTGAATGAAGAATCAATGAAAATTGAAGAAGCTAGGCTAGAGACACCTGATGCTGAAATGAACGATGATAACCTGGAGAACGCTACTACTACTACTACTGATAATAATAATAACAATAATACAGAGGAAGATATGGAAGAAGCAGATTATGACGTAACCGACTGTAATAATGTTAACTAACTAACTAACTAACCAACCAGCTTGCAAACTAACATAGTGAGTTTGAATAGAATTAAGTAACCGAAATGCTTTTATTCCTCTTCAACTGATCACAATCTGCAATTGATAAGCACCGGTTTCCTGTGTTATTTTCTATCTTTCAATTATTACTTTTACTATCTTTATTATCATTCTTACCACTGTTGTTTTACTATGCTTTTTTTCTTTTAAAAAAAATGTGTATAGTGCATTTATTTATTTACTAATTTATATAAGGGATAAAAGACACAATAATTTTGTAATATGCATAAAAATTAAATCAATTCCAGCTATTTATTTTTCTTTCTTTTTGTATGAGGAAATGTATTTCCTCATTTTTGATCTATACTGCCTGTCTGCCCGCGCATGAGAATCCAGCGGTGATGGCGAACATCATCATTCACATTGTGCCTACAATTTGATTAAGACTTATGCTTTCCTTAAACTTGGTTGAACGCTTTTTGGTTTTGTTTAACTTTTTTGTAATACATCAATCTCCTTTCAATAAATTATATTCCTGTGATTATAACAATAAGTATTTGCCTCAATCTTTTGAATTCAATTGCCTTTCTTTTTATGTGTGTCTAATTTTGTATAACCTGCTATACTACAAACATTCCAACTATTAAGGAGACAGTCGGAGCGTCAGTAGCACAAGTGGCCTTAATATTTCCATCAGTCAAACTGTCTGTATTTTTGCTTTTGTTCACTCCCAAGTTGTTGCTGTTGTTGATGTTTTTTTGTAATTTTTTATACTTTTGTTATTTTTTACTTTGCTTTATACTTGAATTTTCTGGTTTATTCAACGTATTTTCACTTTTCATTCCCTAAGTGCTATTGTTACATAAAGAAACTGAGTAGTAGTCATAGTAGAAGTGGAAGTAGTTTCCCTCAGTATTATACACGTTTTTAATGTATTAATTCTCTTTTTTTTCCTGTTTATGCTCAACACACTCTAATAATATTTAATATAAAATCAATAAAATTGTTTTTGAAATAGTGGTTTTTATAATAACAGAAAGGGTTTACACCTCGAGCAGATGTGTTGGCCTGAAATGGGCAGTTTAATTATTTCTGAAGGTTTTAGTGCTGACTTTAATGTGAAGTGAGACTGTCGAATTCTTCATGAATCATACTGTGGTGGTATGACGCAGAGAATGTGTGCCAGCGGAATGTTATTCACACAGGTTCCAACAGTTCGATTCGGCATTAACAACAGAATACGATATTTTCAAGAGTTGGTTTGTAAGGATTAAATTTATTTTTACGAGTTTGACCACGGATTGATATCAGTTATAGAACCATCAAAATCACCAAGGAATAGTGGAAAGCTGTTTCATCCTAGTTTCGGAATCAGCAGCAGTACACACCCACCACCCAGGACCTTCCGGTTACAAACCCAACTCAGTGTCCAGACTTTGAATTCTAACTTCTACCGATTCGTGATTTAGTGCGACTGGCACCAACCAATGTTATCGGTGGAAAATCTATCCGGAAGGTCCTGGGTTCGAACCCTAGTGGGTGCATACTGCCGAAGATTCCCAAACTAGGATGAAACAGCACCTGCCCAGTACTCCCTGCTGGTTTTCAATGGTTCTCTAACTGATATCAATCCGTGGTCAAACTCGTAATAATACGATATATCTATTTGGACATTCTATTTGATGTTGTTTGATGTAAACCGAAATCACACGTTCAATGATTGGTTGGTTAACGAATATAAACTGTCGATAACATAAACAGCGGTATGATTAATGAAAAGCATACGTTGGCTCCCGTATCTTGCCTTCTGTTGTTACAATATAACTGTATTAGTATTGATAATCTCATCGACCTGGATGGAATCTTAATTCTCTTGTCATATGGCGCATTCTTTAGTGGTTGATAAATTTAACGGTGTAAACTGCTACTGACTGACTACCATGAGTAGTTGCTCACTAATCACATCAGTTATTAGTGCCTGTGGGCGACTTAATTTGCTAATTACGAATTCGATTTACTTGACAAGTTTGACATGTGTTAATATGTTTGTTACTTGAAGACTAACCTGAGTTCCACGGTGGACGGTCCCTTCGATTTCAAAGCGACGGAAGTAGTAAAAATGCGGAAGAATCCCTATAAATTTGGGAATCAGATCAAATTTCTTTCAACAGAAATATTAACATAGATCAAATATACCGTCCAATGAAGGTTGCATCAAATAAGAAAAGAAATAATAATAATAATAACAATTTTGGCTTTATTCCAAAAACAGTACTAATGATACAGCAAGGAATTTTCAGCATTCAGTACAATATTGCATCTAATTTACTCATAAACGACAAAAAAACAAAATAAAAAATAAACATTACATAATAATAATAATAACAAAACGTTGTTATAGCAGCTATTTAGCAAATTACTGTATGCAATACGGAGAAAAATATGCATAAAGTATAAAATTATAGTAATAATAGTAATAACAACTAAAATAAAAATAGCAAAGTTATAATTAAACGATAGAAAGGGTGACACCATAAAATTACAGAAAGATGAACAATGAAAGGGTCGATTCACTTTGCTAATTACATAGTAACTTATATGTTTCACGTCTAACAGAGTCTTCATCACATAAAATACGGGCTAAATACGGTATTGTAGAATTTTTGTACTTAGTGGTTCGAGCATATAACTTTTTATATTGACTTCTCGTCCTACCTGATGAGATACAAGGGGATAGTTGTGAATAAAAGGGGTGCAGGGGGTCTGACAGTACGGCCTTTGCCCATTTTGTACAGGATTTTATATGTCTCTCGACTATAGTATTGGCGAGCTCACGCAGTGGCAAACCACAAGCCCTACTCACAGCATTTAATACCCTTCGTAATATGATATAGTCTTTTTTGAGAAGCCCAGGAAAGATTAATGGAGAGCAATAGAGTACAATAGGTAAAATACAGGAGTTTAAAAATTGCAGAACTAAAGGTTGGTTGATACCTGATTGTCTTAACTTTTTAATGTAGAAGGTAAGACGAAACATTTTCTTAGAGATTGATAAGATGTGGGATGACCATGAAAGGTCAGAGGAAAGAACTAATCCAAGGTATTTAATGCTTGACTTGGTTTCAATTTCAGTGCCATCTATGCTACAGGCATCATGGGAACTAACTAGTTCATGTATGTCACGTCGATGCTTGAAAGTAAAGTTAACTGCCTGACATTTGGAAGGATTTAACATAAGACCATTTGACTTAGACCACTTACTGATGTCCAACAGAAAGCTATTAAGTTTGGAGCAGTCAGACTCGGAAGTGATAGGCAGTGATACAGTCAGATCATCAGCATATTTGACAAAGTTAGTTTCGTTTAAATGAGGCAGGTCGTGTAGGAAGAAAGAAAAAAGAAAAGGAGAGAGGACGGCACCTTGAGGAACACCGGCTTTTGTAAGCGAGGCAGAAGAAGATTTGCCATTATATACAGTATACTGCATTCTATCAGAAAAATAAGAATGCAACCAACTCTTAGCCCAGGATCCTGTTTGCGTCAACGAAAGCTTATTTAATAAAAGGCCCCTAGGTACAGAGTCAAAAGCAGATGTGTAGTCTAGGAAAGCACCACGAACATATTTGGCACCTTTGTCTAAACAAGAAACAACATTATGATATAAGACAACCGCAGCATCCAAGGTACTTCTACCATGTTTATATGCAAATTGTTTAGGATCATTAAAAGGTTTCAATGAAGGTTCAAGACGAAGTAAAAGTAATTTTTCCATCAATTTTAAAAAAGGAGAAGTAATTGCAATAGGCCTAAATTTAATATCAGTACCAGAAGGTGGTTTTGGTATGCGGATAATTTTAATGTTTTTCCATACAAACAGTAGGACATTTCTGGAAAAGGAAGCATTAAAAATGTTAGTAAGAGGGTAACGCAAAATATCAGCACAGTTCCTGAGGACAACGGCAGGTACGCCATCAGGACCAAGGCTTTGGGAAGGCTTAAGAGATAGTTACATGTATGACATAGGAACATGAGAATTTCGTAACAGTATTACTTATCTGCAACTCGATGTACAGATATGAGCGAAATACATCTACTGTATATTAAAATCACAATTTGCGCCTATGTTAGGTATTGTGATACTTTTCTTCTCCGTATTGCTCTTCTTTGTCTTCGTTTCATGGTTTTTTGCATGCATAGATTATTTCTTCTCTTTGCCATTAAATTCGTTCCATATTCTTGCATATGATATACATATTTATATCTACGTCTATATACTACTTATGAATCTTATCAGTAGTACATGTCAGATATATAGCATGGAGTTTTCGAACAACTCACTTCATATTAAAGTAACCACTGAAGATGTTGTCAAGAAACACACTGAAAGTGTAAGGATTAAACCGCTCAGTTTAAAGAACACACTCACATCGAAAAGGGTTCCTTAAGTTTCAACAGTCTACATGCAGTCTACTGTTTAGAAATACTGAAAAGGTAAACTGAACAGATAAAAAAAGATGTTTGACAATGGTCTAAGCAATCAGAAACTGGAAACTTATTATCAGAATTGATTTTTCAAAAGAAAACAGTGAAATTTCGCTTTTCATAGTTTTTTCGACTAGTTTAATCGGTTAGGCAACTGAAGTCAACATGACATATCCGGATTAATTCGGATACAGTTATGCAAAACACTAACATGCCATACGAGGAACAAATCGGAAAATACAGAATGATCCCGTTACAAAATTCCAATGAGGCTCATTGTAAGTACATAAATTTAGTATACCATATCTCCAGTGCTTTATTTGCATATTATTTGCAAGTTGGTCGAATATCACCACATTCGATAGTTTGTTGGATACTGCACAGTGTTTCTAACTTCCCTGTTGCAGTTCTGTTCTTCGATTGCTTTTTCCAGTGTCCGAAACATATTGTTACTTTTCTGAATTCATTTACTGATATACTACTTATATCTACTTAAAAGTAGCACTCACCACAACACTGTCATTGACAAATGAAGACTAGTGAAACCGCTTAGATCTTGCATGCTAAGCTACATGCGTGACTGTGAACAACTTCGACTTCGATAAGAAAAATTATCCAGTCGGTCTAAATGGACATAAGCTAGTGTGAATGCAGTAAAGTGCTTTTATAAAAGCTGTGTGACAAATGCAATAATATTTATTAGCAAACAGTAATACTGATATTAAGAAGTATACAATTATAATAAAAATTATATATTAAGATATGAAGTAATTATGACAAGAATGTTACTCTGACCATGTATGGTAAGGCGACTGAGTCCATGTGGTGCTTTTGAAAGACAAATGCTCACTTTAAATGTTGCTTCCCTCTTCACGAGCACTACTTTGGCTGAGACTATATGTTAAATCTGGAAACCTAGAAATTCCTCTTCCCGTAAACTACTAGAAGGAACTACCTCTCATATATGCCTGTGAACATTCAGTTCAACGAAAACTAGTCATAAGGTCTCATTTCAGGCCAAAATTAGCTGACTGTTTCATGATGAGTCTTGTAAACAACGTCCTCAATCCTTTGATCAATTAACTGCACATGCACAAAAGACTTCTTGGCGATATTATTCTAATTTGTGGTAAAAAAATGCGATCTAGATAAGCTTGGTAACATACTGAACGCACTGTACCCTGCAATACATTTAACTAAACCAGGACGAGAATCAAACCTATATTTTCCATTCCCGAATGTGCTACTCACTAGATGACAAGACAACTCAATCTGAAGATCAATATACCGAAAACCAACATCAACTAAACAGTTTATTAACTTCCAGAACCTTGTCTTACTAATGATGAAGCAAAACATAGTACGTTCTTTATGCATAATATGATTCAAGAAATCTGTTCTGAAGATACTGTAGAAACTAAATCGACATCTCAAAGTGTTGTCTCCTTGGAAGACCTAAATTTATTGACAGGAACAATGAAGAGAAAACATCCATCGCTGAAAGTCTCAGCTGTTCCCTAAGAAAACTCTCTTCATCAACTTAGAGTCCAACGGTGACGCTGAATCTTGGATTCTGAAGAGATTGTCTTTCCCATGTGTTTGAAGGAAGTGTTTCTAGCAAATATTTTGTGAAAAACATTCTCTAGCAGACAGCTGATTCATTTATGCGTTAATTACAACATACCACTTCCGGCCACCTCAAAGTGTCTTTATTAATTTATTCGCTCATATGGAGCAAACATATCGGCAGTAAACACTGTCAATTCTTTAAATGTATTTTCGAACACTTTCCAGGCTGGCTAACCAGAGAAGTGGAGAAGAATACGAATATTTAATTGAATTTGAGATTTTCCCGTCGATTGATTGGACCGAAGTGCTAGGTCTCAGGTTGACATGTCGACTTCTTGTGCATATGCTTCGACGATGTCTGGGCATTTAATTCCTGGGTGGTGACTAGCAGTGGAATCCAGGATGCGCACTTCGTCCTATTCGGGACTCGTGAGCTGGGTGTACCTGCATTTCCCAGTGAGTGATGATGTTCCCACCGAGGGCGATTGGACATATCAACCTGAGACCGAGCACTTCGGTCCAATCAATCGACGGGAAAAATCTAAAATTCAATTAAATTAATATGACCCGTAGCACAAGAGGTGGCTCTCGTAGCCCAAGTGGTTTAGTGGATACCGCTTTGGTGTTGGAAACAAACGGTACTGGGTTCGAGCCTCGGTGGGAACATCATCACACACTGGGAAATGCAGGTACATCCAGCTCACGAGTCCCAAATAGGATGAAATTCGCATCCTGGATTCCACTGCTGGTCGCTATTCACAAATTAAATTCTATAGAATAGGAATAGTTGAATTCTTGGGCGCCTTGTCATCTCTGGACATAGGGCAACCCTGCATGACTGCTTTACGGTAATACACAGAGTTCCCCTGTATCGCATAAAAGAGAATTAGATTAGACTGTTTATGCATAGCCGAATCACTGACTATAAAGAACGTAAAATCAGACTTATGCATTCAAAAGTATTACATTCACTCACTCGTCTAACGATGGCCAGAGTACCGTTCCTATCATAATTAATTGATATTTTGGTCAACTGCTATCTATTTATGACACGGATGATAACTTTCTGATTGTGAAAATGAGGAGGAAGCATAGAACATCCTGACTAAATTTAACGAGGTCAATCCTGTAATAAATTTTACTATTGAGAAAGAAAAAGACTCTAGTATTTCATTTCTAGACGTCCTTATGACCAGAAAAGAGGATGGCACAATTAGAAGAAGTGTATGTAGAAAACCTACATCAACGGGTCAGTATACTCATTTTTCAGCTTTGTCCTCTTGAAATACAAACACAGTCTGATAAAGTGCTTGGTTCACAGAACAAGAGCAACCTGCTGGGATGAATGTCATGATGAAGAACTTAATAATATTACACGGTTGCTGAGTGAAAACGGTTATCCAGAAAAGTTTATTGATAGGAATATGAATCTAATATCAGAGCAGCCCAAGGTACCAACAGTTCCTAATAAGGCCTTATTCTTATAAATGCAGTTCCTTGGGGACAACATCAGCGAGATACTAACACAGTGACTTAGAAATGCGGTAAAAAGAGCATTCCCTGCTGCCGAATTACGCTGTGTTTTCAAAACCACCCCTGTTTTGGACTCGAAATTCCAATCAGTCTCCCGAATGTGAATATTCTAATGCAGATAGCATAGATGCGAAATAATGTGAAGCACCAATTTCTTACTCAGCCTCTTAAGTGTCTTTCACCACGATATGGTGTTATAGTGTGTATACAGCAACGATCTGGAAAGATACGCTGACTAGAAAGTGCATTTTCATGTAACCACTCCATATTAGAGATATTAGCTAAAGTTATATGTAGCTATAGTCAAGCTGAGAATAAACTACACAATAGATATGTTCTGAACGTGAAGTTGTACGGCTAACAAAATAGTAGTGCGATGGCAGTACGGAATTTTTCTGTCAGTGATAACAAAGTTCCTACAAGGACAAACATAGTTGTAATAACACATACGAAGAACTAATACTTACAGTAAGTGGACTAGGTAATGTACGATGTTCAAAAGGTAAGGTTCCCTTAATTCTATCGACGACATCACAGTAGGATGAAAACTTTGAATTCGATTACAAAATCAATGCCTGTATCGTTAGGATTTAAATTGATGCGACCAATAACGGGCAATCAGAGGACAAATACCCAAAAATACAAAACTACTGAAGATTGGTAGTCTGCTTAAATCACTGGGTTATCTAATTTTCCATCAATCAAAATGCATCTTATTTACCCTACTTCAGATTGTTCTAATTATCCAATTGCAATCTCGCGCCATAATCTGTATTCACGCTCATTTTCAAGTAGGTTTCAACCTACTGGTATGAATTTATCAAAGAAAAGAGAGGAGAAATCTAGCAGGTTATTAGAGCATGCTTTAGATAGGACAATGCGACTAACTGACTCATTTTCAAAATAGAATTTTACGTAGAAGTACACCGGTTCAATTTGCTACACTCCATGCAACACGTAAGGTGGAGTGATTAAAAAAAAATATAGTGAGCAGAAATGCGTAGGAGAATAGTAACATGGAAAACCACGAGGGTCTAGTGGATTGCAAAGAGTGAATGCATCTGCACCACTGAGAACGATTTCCAGCCATATCACAAATAGTTCCCAGGCATTGGTTCTTATACTCCCGAGGATCCCAGCCAGACAGTCTATACCGCCCTAAGTGACTCAAACCAAATGTCAAAGACTTCATGGATTGATGACACGATTTGGTCTGACTGCCCCTTAACTCTCTCACAACCTAATTCTAGGTTAGCTAACATTTCCCGACGAGGAACATGCTGGGATGTCGTGCACAACACGTTTCCTAGACATCTCAACAGACTCACCCTCACAACCTTATCAGATGAATTCCCTTCCTCACCTAACTTCAGTATTACTCACCATATTATACCACTGAATACGGGTGATAGTTTCTTCATGTATTCCACTTTCAATGGCCATTTTTCGGAGCCACAAAGTAGGATGCAGTGAAGCGCTGCGCAATACACACATAGGTTGATCGATAGCCGAATATCACATCTACGCCAGAGATGGTAGTATTTAGTGCTCAGAAGCTCTGCATTTTATCTTCACCTAAGAGAACAATATTATCCCCGAGCTCTAAGTCAACAAGACTGTCCCCTGGTAACAAGTAAATCCCTAAGTTGCTAAAGTAGTCAGGGGCAATTCCATTAGTACAACTCTGATGAAAGTGAACAAAAAATGGAGACAGCAGGCTTCTCTGACTAACACCACTGGTTGTCATCATTTCATATGACAACTCCCCATAAGATCTTACACAGCTGAGTGAGTTTGAGTAGAAGGCCTTGATTAGTGAGACACACTTTCTCAGTGTTCCCTTAACAGCAAAACATTTTCATAGCACTTCTGGGTTGACGGAGTTGAATGCCGCCTACGGGTCTAGAAATATGGCAAGTCTTGGAAGCCAAAAATTATGCCTATTTTCAAGGATCTGTCGAAGGATGAATTTTCAACACACGCACTTTCTGGCCAAAAGCCTGCCTGGGTTTCCCTAAAAGGCACTAAATCTACACATGATTATTGAACCTAAAAGTTTAGATACTATATTGGTCAAGCTTATCCCCCTATGATTACCACAGGAACACCTGTGTACCTCCTTGAAAATCTGGGATAATCAGTTGCTTACACTAGTCTAACGGGATTATCTATGATTATCAGACATTACCTAATAGCTTAGTTAACCCACATAACTGTTTGTCACCAACGTCCTTAAACACCTCTGCAGTCACTCCATCAGGTCCTAAACTGCTGCTCAAAATGTTCCCGCCAACGTCCCAGTCTTCTATCCTGAGAGCTAACTAAGACACCGCTTTTATAGGAGATTGTCTCGCTTATCAATTGTCTTTTACAACCTGTTTCCGCTTCTTTCGCTTTTGTCACCCACTACATTTCTCGAGCATCTTGGAGACTTTTTATTAGCATGCGTCTGAATAGCTTTCGCTCCATCAGGATCAATCTTCTCTTCTGGTGGTATTTACTAACATTTCGTTTTAGGTTATCAACAGTCTTTCCCACAATATTATGCAAAGCTTCCACAGGATGGCTTTTACTGTTAACCTCAGATACGCATTTAGCTATTTCTCTCGTAAACAAGGAGTTCCGATCAAGATGGGAAATAGCCGTTACTAATTTACTTTAGCCTTCTAACTAAGGGGGCAAGTACTTTACAACAGTAGAATGAATATGCTGAGAATTCTGTGGCTATTTATTCATGAATGGCATTTCTTCAGAATATGAATGACTATGCCCAACCCCCCCCCCCACCAAATACCCAAAACATTACATGTTTCCATAGAAGAAGAAATCTGAGGGGAAAAAAAGAAGTATTTAATTATATATAAAAACGTCACAAATACAAAACCAATTACAGAAAGTCTGCATATCTATTTAATGAGCAAAGTCGTCAGTCTGTCAAATTTAATTAAAAAATAATAATGATGATAATAATAAAAAGTAAATGCTTCCAGGATAAATGATGTACTAATCGTCCGTCTGTCTTACAGCTCTGTTATCATAAGGTATTCATCATTTGTCATTACTTAGCAAAGGGAGAAAAAATATACATAGAATAATAATATTATTATTACTGTTACTGTAATTGTAACAGTAGACAAAAATGAAAACCCAGGAGAAACACGTGCACAAGTACACATACAAATACAAATAGAGGATAGAAGTGAGAGAAAAACAACACTTCAATCTTCAAGTCGATTCGGATCAAAAGGTGTTGTTGATGACGGTTTACCACGACCTAATACCTTGCTTAATTGTTTAAGAAGACGTGGTTGACCCTAGAAAGTAAATTGAGAAGGAAGAAGAAGAGGAAGAGTAGAAATAAATTAAACATTATTATAAAATAAAGATTAAATTAGCTGAACCATATTTCTAACAAGGACTCATTATAAAAACCAGTAGGTCGGTCAGATAATAGCTGAATGATAGGGAATAACAGAGATTTGTAACTTACAAATAAAGACAGAAATGGTTCCAGGCTTTTGATATTCGACCGTGTTACCTAGAGTATGTCAGATTAAGGAGTAACTGACCACGCTTTGCACTGTCTAAGTACGATGGCCTGTTGGATTATCTAACTTTTTCATTCAGTAAAATGTATAGACTATTCTCGAATTCCCTATTGTTTTAACCACCTAACTGTGGTTTTGAATCATTGCATGGAAATTGCGCGCGTTTTGAATTAGCTTTCAACGCAACACTATGTACTTCTCAAAAGAAAATATTGTAAATGACTGGATCTTGCTCCACATGCAAGAACACATTATCACATAGTACACTGTCAAGTACTGTTTTACTTATAGAGATCCAGCACTGAGAGCAGATAATTTGCGATTTAAATATATTTAGAATTCTGTACTATGTCAACATATTATCTAGAATAAAGTTATTATTATTATTAAATGTACTGTAGCAAGATTATCAACAGCACTGGATAGTACTCAATATACCAAGTGAACTGTAAGAGGTAGCTGATAAATTCCGGAGCTTCGATAGTTGTGTAAATGCTGAAAGAAGAATGATGGGTGAAATTGCCAACTGTACACACACACACACATATACACCAGAACTACTTTTGGCTTTTAAAGATTAGATTTACAACGCATCAATGTGTGTAATCTTGTAGTATTGTGCATGTGTGTTAGTTTGACCTTTCCAGACTGGTGATGTGTGACAATTTTGCCTGTTGGTCATCATGACTGCTTCGGTAGGACTACTACTTGCTTCCTGTGCCACTATGTGCTGAGGTACAGATGTATCTTCCGGCGGTGAAGTGGTTCACTTATGCAATACTATTACACATTGCAAACCAGTAAACACTATGTAGAAAATTCACCGACAATATTGTACCTCAACCTCAGTACAAACACATACAGTTTGTTAGCTAGTTGAATTATAATTTCATTTTATTATCACGGACTAAATACTTTTATAGGAGTCACTAATAAGTGTAATTTGACAAAATGGAAAGGTGTTACTCGTACAATTAAACTCAAATACGTGAAAGGAAAACTTACACGATGCTTTGTGACCGAAGGTTCCTAATAGAAAAGAGAAAAAGCAACAAAAATTATCTACTTTGTGTAGGCTGGATGAATGAATTCCACGACTGTGCTAAGACACACACTGCTTTCCTCACAACATTAGCTGAAGCACTCCACTTACTACCAATTGTTTCCACTAATTCACATAATTGAGTTCAAGCAACTGGGAAATACTAACAGCCGTTACATAACATGTGTAGTTCATAACCTAGGGAGGTCACTGACTTCAAACCGACAAATCTTTACAATAGACGATGCAACTGGAATATAGACGACCAAGTCAGATAAACATCAGTCAACTGAACTTCAAAACCACTTCAACACAGTTAACAGATAAGCAACTAATTTACGTCAGTCATATCGAGCATGAAAGTCAAATCAGGAAATTAGACCGAACTAGGTATCTACAGGAATAAAACGATTATTTATTAATTATCATTCCTTGGGTTTCGAATGGAACATATGCCTTCAACGGGACACCTCCATTTTATCCTTTTCTATGCAATCTTTTTAGCTAACTTCACGATTGCACAAAAGCTTCATTTGCTTCTCACACTGTCTCCTCTACGTCACTCTTAGACGCCCGACTTGTCGTCATTTCCCGTTCAGATTCCATTCCACTACCTGATGTCATTCAACTGTGTACCCAGAGCACCTCCAATATAGTACTTTTCGGCCAGCAATCTGTCTTCAGTATCCACCGGAGGTAGCTGTTGATGAAAGTCTGCAGCAACCTGTTAGAAATGCTTTCGAAGACGCGTGAGCCAAGTCGCTGAACCATACACAGAAGCAATGACATGACATTAGTGTTTCAAATTCGGATCTTTAAATTAACACACTGATTCCTTAGTAGAACTCTATTTTGCCTTTTCGGTTCTGGCTGACTTTGAAACCACCCTGTAGTTGAAATGATGACTGTGTAGATAAGTGAAATTAGGTGACTTCGTACAAATTCCTCCCGCTGGTAGTGATTGGTGCTTGTTGTTGTTAGTTAGATATCTTCATCACTTCTGTCTTCTCCACGTCCACTTGAAGTCCTCTATTCACTATCCGCCTGTAGATTTTTGATTTTGTGTAACATTAGATACAAATTACCAGTCCAGATCTTCTAGAGTCTTCCTGTTGGTTTAAGGGACTTCTGCATTTCTGTTCTCCCCACGGTCTACTACAGGATTCAGTCCACCACAATCATGAATGTCACCAGCAATAGTGTCTTCAATTCAAACGCTTCACTGAGTTTCCCCACATGAATAGCTTGGCATCATCATATAATTGTTGAATGACGTTTAAAAGGTTTGAGACACTCCATAGTATTGGAGCAGTCTTCAAATAACAATTGAAGGTCTTTTCAAAGTCGTTAAAGCTGAGTTAAAGTGTTGACTGCTGTTTCATGTTCTGTTCGACGATGATGCGAAGCGTTGCAATTTGGTCCACACATGATTTATTATTACTAAATCCAATTTTTCCCAGAGCATATTTTGTTATGAAATGCTACTGTGTCCTATTATTCAGAAAACTCAATTAAAAGCCATCAAAAATACAGACTGAGCAGAGTAAAATGTCTGTATACATCAGCCAAAAATTCAAGTAGGCAGTGAGATAAACATTACACGTAAGTATTGATGGCTAACAAAACTTGCCTTTGCATAAGAGAGTACAGAAACGTGTTTCCCTAACAAGAGTAATTTCAACAAACTATTCGTACATTAGTTTTAGCATGGAAATTAACTGTTCATTTCTGTGATTTTTTCTTCAATAATAAAATTGTTTGACATTCTGAGCAATAAAATCAGACTTTCATTAATGTGATAGGGGATTTAATACCCTTAGGGTGGTGATGGAATGGTTTCAAAATTTTAATAACAAAGCTGTTCTAGTATAATGAGAAAGATATTTATTACTAGAAATGACTGACTGGACTGGACTAACTGGTTTCAACGTAGAACTTTGCACTAACGTGCATCAGTTCGACCTCACACACTACCTCCTTGTAGCACACAAAGCAAGAGAGGAGAGTAAAAAGATATTCAAAACAGAGATATGAGGCAAAAAGAATAGTAAAATGGAAGAACAATAGAGTTTCATTGGATATTATACACCACAAGGAGTGAACGCATCTGCGCCAGCCATCAGTGAGAACGATTTTAAGCCATATCAACAATTGGTTTTTACCATCCCGAGGACCCCTACCAGTAGGAAGTCTACACCTCCCTACGTGGCTGGATGGCATAAACTAACTGTTGTGGATCTCATTGACTAATGAAGCCATGTTTTCGTTTGACCACCACTAGCTCTTTTTCAACCTCATGGATCCTATGTCAGTTAACATTATCCTTCGAGGAAGGCGATGGCTCGGCATATGTAACACATGTCCTAACCATCTCAATGGATGTAACTTCACAACCTCTTCGATTATTTTCCTTTTCAACCTACCTAGCACTCGATCGAAGCCTCACCTCAATAATGCCCACCCCATTACTAGGAATACCAAAAAAAAGTTAAAGTCAATGTCTACATAGCCCTCTTTTCTCTTTTTATTTGTAAGTACTCGGACTGCAGTATTAGCATTAATCTTCTTATGATAACCACTATAAAATAAGGACCAATATATGTATATAAAAGAAAAGGAGAACGGTTTTTGATTATATTCAGAATAACGCAAAAGCAACGATATATCGATCAGAAAAAGAAAAACTAATACATATCATATGAAGTGTAGGCTTATGGGACTTAATTATCAGTTAGAACGTGTATTCATACAGAAACATAAAACCTGTAGAAACAATTAATACCAAAGTAACGAAAGAACATTCAAAAAAAAAAAAAAATAACTTACTTTACGCAACTCATGTTTATCACTAGTATCTGCCCAAGCAACATGAACTTTTGATCGATTCCTGCGCCACGAACGATCCCGAATAAAATCAACTGAAGCGGGAGGTGCAGAACTGGCAGTACTTGGGGCAGAAGAAGTACTGCCTGTATTTGATACATTATCACTTTCTCTAGGTGGAAGAGGTACAGCAAAACCTGATGAAGCAGGGAATGGAAGCCCATCATCAAAATCAGTCTCATCAGTTGAATAGATATCATATCCGAGTGGATCATACTCCTCCTCTACATAACGGTCTTCACCAGATGGTGTATACTGAGGAGAATCTGAATGATATTCTAACTTTCCTGGCAGAGTTCCATGCTTTTTCAAGTTCAAACGAGTTTTACTCATCATTTTCTGTAGACGACTAGGTTGTCTTATGAAGTCACTAGATGCTAAAGGTTTAGAATGCCTAAACAAGAAATAGGAAAAAACAAAAATTATGAATCGAGTTCTCCAAATAAAAAAACAAGAAATTAGTATGTAATGAAACAAATCTCACTTACTCAGGCTTTACAGTATCACGTTTACGATGTCTACTGAAAAATGCAGAAGCTACTGAAATCAATGGTGCACCAGGTCGACCAACTCGCGTTGTTTTTCTAGAGCGTTGTTTTCTACCTTCTGAAGCTGGAATTGGAATTGAACTGCCATCAATAAGGGTATTACGATGGACAAGGTTGAATTCTGCTGGTAGAAGACCACGCATATGATTGATCAGTTTTCCTTGTTGTTCTGTTATAGTAGATAGACGATGATTTTCACGTTGTAGGGCTTGTTGTGATGCTTCGCCTAATTCTTTAGCCCGTAGAATAGCCATTTCTGATTCACGTGCTTCTTGACGAGCTGCATCACGTTGACTAGCAAGTTGTGTATTGTGCAGTCGTAATCGTTCCACCTGTGTTCGTTGTTGATCCAACTACATATAAAAAGCACATTAATAAGAAAATATTGAAGATATTAAATGTTAATCCAGATAAAAAAGAATTTAGACAAGTGATTAAATAAACGGCGCACTATACAATATAACTGTGCGTCGGTGGTGTAACAGTGAAATGTTCACCAACCAAGCATATGGTTAGCAAGGTTGGGTTCCTGGTCGACACACACTTCTATACCTTTATTAACGAGAAGTAAGCTCGGCAAGGAGGGAGAAGGTTAGGCGTGAGGCTAGCAACACCATCCCATAAAAAATATGACAAAACGCCATAGAAACTTTGCAAGCTCAAGCTTGAAGCCCTATGTTTTTCACTGGGTGGGGGAACACAAATGGAATTTTTAAAAATGCTACAGTACTTACTTCATCTTTAAGTGTTTGATTTTCATCCGTTAATGATGCTACCTGATTATGTAGCTCAGATAAGCTTTCAGATGCCTGTAAAATAAAGTTGAACAGAAATATTTACTATACAGAATGTCTAAATATTCAGTTGTTTTTTTTTAACAAAAATCTTACTAAATCCCCGATTCGGTAGAAAACCACACTAGGTGGGTGGGTTATTACAGTCTAGCTTAGAGCTTGCTTTTCTTATTTTCAAATAACAAGTTAGTTAGTTAGTTAATCAACACAAATAGGAGGTCTTATGTTCGGATCCCAGTGAATGCATACTGCCGATGAATCCCAGACTAAGACAAGAAAGCTGTCCCCAGTAATCCCTGGTTTTCAATAGCTCTCCAACTGATGTCAATCCGTGGGCAAACATGAAACAAATAAGTCGTTAGATTTGTGTATTTGAAGTCAGCGACTAGTGATGATGTTATATGCAGGTAAAATTATTAAGTATGAATAAACAATCCAATCTCTATTTTCATGTGAGGAAATGTTTCTAAATTAAAATAGAACACACCATAAACAAGCTTTAATTCTTAGTATATTGTATTTATTAGGCATGAACAAATCTTTAGGTAAATGAAATTGTTATCGTTGAAACTGAAGAAAGATATCTATACTGAAAAATACTGCATAAATGCATAATGTCATGAACTGTAGGAAGAATTATTTGGATGTTTACTACGAGTTGTGTTGTGGGGCCATGGTATGGCTCATTACTTCAAGCACTCAACTCCCAACCAACCTATTTTACTTGGAGAGGTTTGAACAGCTAGATGGCATCATTAACCCATACACAATAGGTGTAGGTCATCACCCACTGTGCACAGAATTGTAACTGATGGCTGAGTAAGACATTAGTATGTTTAATTATGAATGAAAAGCAGAAAATTACTTACATAAGGTGCTGTAATAGTTGTTTGTAACTGGTCATATCGAGATCGTAGAAGTGTTAATTCTTGTTTCAAGTCTGATATTTCACGTTCATAGTTTACTGTACGTTCACTGAAATAATAAGAACAATTATGCAGACTTAAAAATTAAAGTTGACAAAAACATATCCATACAGACGAACTACAAGAACAATTCATTCACCTACTGAATATAGATTTAAGTAGTAAAACATACTTTAGAAAATTATTCCCTATGTAACAAGAATGAATGTACATTTACGAATAAGGAACACCACCAGCATTCACTGTACAATAAATATAATTCCCAGATGAATTATGTTCTTTGAGCTGGGTGATTTGCTTGCACAGATCTCTTTGTCCTTCTAAATAACACCATTTAGAGGTAACTTTCTAATTCTCCATGAACAAAATAACCGTTTCCACTGACTACTTACCTTCAAAGATACCTTATCATTAGTAGTGATCATCTCATCGATCTGTCAATTGACCTTTCATTGATGTGACTTAATCTTTATTGATTAAAAAAATTTAATCTCTACTAACTTTTCAGTTCATTGTAAACTGTCAACTGATTAATGGACTTCCAGAAATTGTTTGGTATCCATTTAAGATTTTAACATTCTATGTTGTTCTATGCGTACTGAAACAACTAAAGAGTGTAGGTCATGCCTTTTTGACTGCAAAGTTTGTGTTCATGGATGTGATGAAGAAGAAAAAGAAGAAGAGGAAGAAAGATGTCCGCTTTGGGGTTAATATCATGCTCATCTCAGTTGATATAATCTATTAGTTTGCTATTCCGAAAGAAAATGCATACCCAAAGATTGGATAGTGACTCGATAATTATCAAGTGTTGGTGTTTACAGAGATTTGACTGGTTACAGCAGTACTGTCCAATGCTGCCAGGTTTTCCAATAATTTTTTTTAAACTGATGTCAGCAGCTTGTGATCAATCCAGTGACTCACACTAACACACTTACTTAATCAAATATGAATTTATCGTATCTAAAAAAAACTCAAATTTAACCTGAGAACATCACATCTCATAGGACAAAAGTCAATGAGCAAACTGCAAAATACAGGGGTGAAAATTTTGCATGAGTTGATTTCAATAAATACCATCCTCCTCAAGGGCTTATATATGCATACATCAAATGGGCTACAGAAACTTTAATTACGCGTTGGAGAGTACTCGTATATGTTAGAAATCAACTTATAAAAAAACACCCAAGTAAATTACTAATGATAAGCTTAGCTTAGATGTTTGCCTTAACACAACCAAGAAAAGAAAAAAAGACAGCATGCATAAATAAATAATAATAAGACAAGAATTAAACTAGCTAATATAATAATTTACCGTAATAAATCTTCATTTTGTTTATAGTGAATCAGCTCAGTCTGAGCTGTTCTCAATTGTGTTCTAGTTGATTCTAGTTCATTTCTAACTTGATCAAGAACAAGCTAAGTGAAGGGGAAAAATGTAAGGTAAATTAAAAAACAAAAATTAGCATTATAACCATATAAGACAGTCCCATAAAGTAATAAAAGTGAACTGGATTTCGTCGCTAACCTCCACAGTTAGAATATCTTCAAAAGATTACATCATCAAAAAACTTATGAGGGATTGAACTTAAGACCCCTTCAGGATGTGAGATGAGCATGGTGACTCGTAAAATTCTAACTTCGGTCAATTCACAATATAAATGTTGACATCGGTTCATAACGAAATCTACCTTGTAATTGATCGCATGCAGATTAGTAGAAGATAAACTGTCTAATTTCACCTCTATAGAAGAGGTGCACCTGTGGAATGAGCCAGTCACATAGACCGTACAATTAGGCGTATGTTTCTCGTTGGATTTCCAAACACCATCTTACGTGGTTAAGTAAAAGACAAACAAAATCAATTCATAGCGCTATTCTATCTCATCTTGTGGATACAAAACACAAGATTGATGTTAAAGAGGCAGCTTTCAAAGTCATCTACCGCATACTTTAAGAGTTCGTCTACTACATATTGCTGAGGCCGTTGAGATCCACATTAAGAAACCTAACTTATGTGTCCAAAAGAAGCTGGTTCAGACACTGTCCTTATCTTGGCCATCAAGGTTCTAATGACCCTTATTTTGTTGTGGGAATTTCCTTAATTTTATTTGATATTCTATTTCCTATTACATTTTTATGCTTATTATAACTTAAGCGTCTTTCTTGAACTGTAATTCTATCGATCTGACTTAATAAATCGATAGTATTTAAAAACACCAATATTGTTATTGAGTACTTTTCTAGAATATTCTATGTATATATATAATCGTAGAGGCGGAGGAGGAAATTATCGAAAAGAATATTCTTTGCTCAGTTTTTTTTTCTAGGTGTCTGAATGAATATTTTCTCTATATTGAAATTCAGATAAGCTTACAGTCGAAATAATCTATCACTGCAGAGATAGACAGTGAAAATAACAACATTGAAATCGCTTTACCGTTTGATTGTGTGTTGTATTCAGTCGTTCAAGTCGAAGTGTTGCTTCACGAAGTGCCTGTTCAAGGGTTTCCTTTTTCATATTTGCTTCCTTCAATTTAATGTTCGCCTCTGATAAACGCTGACAAAAAAAAATGGAAAAAATATATATATGAAAAATGTCAATTGCTATAAATAGACTATATTAGTAAACTGTATAATATAGGCTTGAAGTATAGTGTTTCATAATGTAGAAATACGATGAAAAGATGAATACAAAAAGGAAAAGGAAAAGTGCCCATATACATGTATATGATCGAGGGGAGGGGGGGTGATTCCCGACCGAAGCACTGCTAAACTTTGCTTAGCCAGTAGTAAGTCGGGGAAAAGAGGAAAGGTTGGGCGTGAACTTAGCAACACCACACCCTGTAAAACAACACCACCGCTAACGAAACTTCAAAGCTCAAGGTTGAAGCTACATGTTTTCACTAGAGACACAAAGGAATGATACATCTAGAAATGATTTAGGCCATTATTATTATTTTTATCATTCTGGCCTTATCCCTTAAACAACTTTTCGGCAGAATTATAATTCAGACAGAATATAAAATCTGTCTTCTTAAAATGTTACACAACCAAGTGAAAACATTAGCATAAGTTAAGTGGGTGGATAGTATGATTACCGCCAACTGTTCATGGAGAATACAGGCAACTAGTGTCTGTCTGTTTTCAACTTAGAACTTTGCACCGATGTGCGGCAGTTCAAGTCGCCATACTCCATGTAGCACACAAAGCAAGAGAAGAAAGTAGAAGAAATGCATAGTATAGACAGTAAACAGAGGTGAGAGACAAAGGAATAGTAGTAACGAAGACCAATATAGTTTCATTGGAAATTATAAGTCACAAGGAGTGGATGCATCTGCCCCAGCCATCAGTGAGAACGATTTTCAGCCATATCAACAATTGTCTCCAGCCTTCATTGGTTTTTACCATCCCGAGGACTCCAACCAGGAAGTCTTCACCTTCCGACATCACTGGCTTAAACTAACTGTTGTGGATTTCATTGACTGATGTAGCCATGTTTTGGTTTGACCACCACTAGCTCTCTCTTTTCCAACCTGACCCTATGTCAGCTAAGATTGCCCGTCGAGGAAGGTGATGACTAGGCATACATATAACACATGTAGCTTCACAGCCTCGTCAAGTGATTTCCCCTCCTTACCTAGCACTCGACCGAAGCCTTACCTTAATATTGCTCACCCCATTATACCAATTAACACGGGAGATATAACGCAGGCATGTATGATCAAAGACAGCTAGCTAGCAACTACACTGAGTTAGTAAGCTATACTCTTCGAATTGGTATACTATTCTATGTAATGATTGTACATCAGGGTTAGCATCCTATACAATTATAGGAAATATTCATGATAACAATCAATAGATAATCATAAGAACACTAGATAAACAACCTGAGAATTCACTGCTGAAACTGCAACAAGACGACTACGTTCAGTTTGCATGCTTGCTATCTGATCACGTAGTTCTTTCAGTTGACTTTCAGCTTTTTCTGCTCGTTCTTCAAGTTCACGACGTTCAGCTTTTTTAATCTCAAGCAATTCTTCCTTTTCCTGTAATAAGAGAGAGAAAAAACGTAACAGCAGTTAGAGACAAAAAGATGAATTTAAGGCACACGAAACACAATCTAATTGTAAAATGAAAGAAATAAGAACTATACAAGAATAGAATTACTCGAATACAACGTGGCCGGTAAATAAGGTCAATCTGATTCAGTAACTCAACTGACTAGGACAGATGCCATACATACGCATCCATTAACTTCTTTAATGAGCGATGCAATTTGAAGGAGAATAACCTCGAAAAAAAGTTACATCCGGTAAGTACAAAGTATTAAGACAGAGAGCATCCAATTGAAGAATTGAGATTTTGTGAAAGACTGTTACATCCATTTACCTCTCTGTCTGTTCGACTACAAATTGCAAATAGAATAGCATTGGGAAATATGAAATAATAATCAACTTGTAGATATAAGAATAAAATAAATTAAACTTTATCTTAAATCAATCATTCACAAGCTATGTAAAGTACTGATGAATAAAGCGTCATATGTCTAGTCCTTTGTGTTCGGTGCAGACTGAATTCTATCAGTCAAGTTCCCAATGTGATCACCACCATCCTAGGTGGCTCGCCACCAAGGTGTGCACTTTGAACTACTGTTATTAGATGATGGGAAGCAATCGACAGGAAACCTTGAAATTAAGCTTCGTACTTGCTGGCACTCATCAGTTAGCAAGGCGTATCTGTAATCCAATACAGTCTCTTCCTACAGGAGGTCGACCGCAAGTCCAAATGACTCATTGGTAACGTTTCTGACTGGAACATTGGGTGACAACACGCGTTCGAATTTCACAAGGGAAATGAGTTCCTTGCTGACTGATAAATGGCAACAAGCACGAAACCTAAGTCCAAGGTTTACTGTAGATTGCTGCCAACTATCTTGTAATATTCAAGTGTTGGTTTGTAGGGATTTGATTTGTTACAGGATTTCATCATGAGCTGACATTGGTTAGAGAACCATTGGAAAACCTGCATGGAGTACTGAACAGCTGTTTCGTCCTAATTGGGACTCTTCAGTAGTACACACCCCCGGGGTTCGAATCCGGTAAAAACAAAATAATACTTCTGAAGAACATATTAACTGACGACGAAAATTGAACAATGCATGTGAAAAACTGGGGCACTGTGGTAGAATAGACATTAAACTACACGTTAATCTATTTATTGGATATAAGATACAGTGAAACAGTATTATTTATTGCATGATGTTCATTGTTCATACTGACATCAATTATAATTATAGATAACTTCTAAACTAGAGTTTGATAGTTCTGTTTATTCCTTGTAAACAACAAAATTACTCATACAAAGCGATGATAACCTGGTAGGCTTATGTGAATTCTATTTATAGATAAGTCTAAAGATATCACCAGATAGTAGGCTGACTTATTATTAAGTAATTTGCGTGTGTTATAGTCATATAATAACGTTACACCGATAGGTAAAAATAAAAGGAATCAACCAGCCAGAGTATGCAGATAGTGAATGAAAGAAGAAAAAAACAATGAACAAGAATACTTCAATGAATATATACTTACTGTTTTAGCACTGTCTAGTTGTTTCCTCATGTCAGTTAGTTCAACTCCATACTGTTGTATTGTTTCTTTTAAAGTATTTCCTAAAGCAACAAGTTCTCGTTCAACTTCTCGATTACGTTCAATTAGTAAATGAAGCTGGCTTCTGGAAACAAAATTGTCATTAAGAGGTACACAATTAAATGTACTGAATGAGTAGATATTATCGTAAGAATACATGCATAGAAGACACTTTATAATAAGTTATAGGAAAGGTGTTACAACACTAACCAATAATTTGTCCTCTAAGAAATCTGGTTTTACTTATCAGCTTCAGTCATCAGCAAGCAAAGAAAAACACAAATCTACGTTATATAACCTTGCAAACATCTCCTAAAGTGAAACTATATGGATCCCAATTACATAGATTCAATACATTCATAACTACGCTATTCGGTCACATTTTTCCTCTCCAAGCTGAGGATGTGCGGCGACTCTGCGTATTCGGTCACCGGTGTATCAGTAGGATTACTTGTGTTCGATGGCATCATAGCGTCACTAATTCTGAGGTCCGGAGGCGAGTGTTTGGACACCATTCGTTGAGTGTCATCATCTGGAAACACCGGCTTTGGTGGCTGTGATATTTGCTACGAATGTCATCCCAGAGGCTTCCGTACATGTGCCTGTTCCCTAGCCCTGAGATGGGATGGAAAAGGCGGTGATGTGGAGTCGTGGGATGATGGATATTTGTGTTAGGTTAGCACCGGTTAATGAGTCACGACTCCCTGGTTGGAGTCCGACAGACAGCTCGAGTCGGTGATTCGAAACGTTATCATGTATGGCCAAAAATCGCAATCAATGGCGAACGTGCTGCAGCTTCCTTCTTTCTTCCCTTCCCGACAATAATTGACGAATGCTGTTTGAACTTGTTAAATATGACTGCTCTCTTTCCAGATGAAGGAAGTACTTGATCTGTTCTTTACCTATATTTTTACTTTTTATCTCATATGTTGCTTTATTATTATTGTGTGGCGCATTTTACTGGTGCCATATTGTACCAAGTAAGTAAATATAATGATCTAGGAAAACAGTGTACACAGTAGTCAAAAGAGAATAAAATATGAACACTTGATGGTAGAATATATCATTCATTCTATAGTAGAATAATTTTACGTGATACAATACTACTCAGGAATACAACCGGTATAGGAATACTGTTATACATAAACACACGGACTCATGCAAGAGATTTACGAATCTCATATTGTCAGACCCTGAGCATCCCTCTCCATACACAACTCTCTTTCTTTTGCTCTCTCCTTGTATCTCATCAGGTAAGGGAATTAGAAGCAACTATAGAGGACTATTTGCTCGGATGACCAAGTATATAAACTCCACCTTATTTGGTACACAAACACTCAGTAAACGACCCTCTCTTTTTTAATTATTATATTGCTGTTAATATCTTCACTTAATTTTATATTCATATACATAATGAACAATATTATCAATGTAAACGCCCTGTTTTAAATTATTACCCCTATAATGCGAATATTAGACGCAATATGCTGTACTACATGCTGAAAATTCCATATCTGTACCAAAATACTGTTTGGAACAAAGCTTTTATTATTACTATTATTATTATAAAACAAGACAGTTTATACCGGGGGTCTAATTAAATCATTGGACTACTAGAGTTTCCATCCATCAAAATGCCTAAACTCTTCAGCATTTCTTATTCTTCTAATGATGTAATTAAATCAAATGATCACTACATAAACTACTGGTGCCCACACTTAAATAGCTTTAAACGGAACGCAGAGCAATTCTTCAAGGAAATGCAGAAAAAAATGTACATAGCTGGTTCTCTCTTCATCTGCAACAACATTATGCCACATTACATACTTCAGATTATTAGTTAATTGGTGGATGATGACTAGCAGTGGAATCCAGGATGCGCATTTCGTCCTATTTGGGACTCATCATCTGGATGTGCCTGCATTCCCCAGTGGGTGATGATGTTCCCACCACCGAGGCTCGAACTCAGTGCCCATAGTTTCCGACTCCAAAGCTTTATCCATTAGACCACTTAGGCCACGAGAGCCACTTCTTGTGCAAAGGGTCATATTACATGCCCAGGCATTGTCAAAGCATTTGCACAAGAAGCCGACATGTCAACCTGAGACCAAGCACTTCGGTCCAATCAATCGAAGGGAAAATCTAAAATTCAATTCTTCAGATTACTACTTTACATGCAAATATTTTGAAACGCTGGAAATTTATGTACCGTGTTCACATATTGTCTAAAATAAAGCCTTATCATTATTATCAAAGACAATTGTTTTAAATGTAAACGCTACTACAACTTACGATTGGGACTGAATTTCTGATGATTTCTCCTGTTTCCGAGCTGAGTCACTAGTCACTTGTTCAAGTTTCGCCGTGATTTCCTTGTTTTTCTACAAGACAACAAAAAAGGAACATATAATTGATTTTCACTACAATTCTCTTTGATGACATGAAACTGTATGCATTATATATTTGGGGTTTAAATGATGCAATTAAATAACAGAAATCACTTAACAGTTCGCCTTGTTTCGCTACCTCAAATAAAGGAATACAAAGACAATGAAAGCAATTTTTATCTAATGGGTGTGGGTGAATCGGCGGTTCAGTGGTAGAATATGCTCGCCAACCACGCGAACGTAGTCCGTGGTCTAATTTCTGACAGACGCATTCCCCACAACCACAGCCTAGTTTACTAGGCAATAGTAAGCTAGGAAAAGATGGAAGGTTGGGAGTGGGGTGCTAGTAACCCTACCCCCCCCCCCTAAAAAGAAACACCATCAGCACTAATGAAACTTTAAAGCTTAAGCTTGAAGTCTATCTAATGCACCATTCAGAATGCAAAGGAAGTGTAAGAAAAATCTGATGGGTGTAATTCCCCCCCCCCCCTTATGACCATTCTCTTACCGTTTTGATCCACATCGGGGTTCATATTTTCCCTCCATTTGTATAAAGTACATCTTAATGTATGTGTCGCTGTATTAGGTTTATATTTTACAAAAAAGAGAAAAACAACAAGAAAAATATTTCGAAAGGAGTGAATTTGAATTGCTTAGGAACCTTTATGATAAACTCCATCATCAGTATACTTCATCACCATATCGAATAAGAACAACAATAAAACACTAAATAAAAATATAATTTTTTTTAAAAATGCATACCTTCTCTTCATCTCTTAATTTATCACGAACTGTAAAGTATTTATCCTCAAATTGTAAACACTTTTGATTTAAATCTCTTTGGTAATCTTTGGCATCTTCTAGTTTTTGTTTCAATACCTAGAAAATACAAGACAGTGTTCACATATAAGTGTTGATCATGACGTGCTAATTATATATGGTAATTACTATAAATAATACAACCTGGCTCAGAATGCATACCGGAGACCAAAGCCGGTCAAGTTAAATTTTAAGCACCACTAACAACTGCCAATGGAGTGCGACCACAATAATGACCTTGGAAGGCTCACTGAGCAAGTTAGTGAAATCCGGCAAATAAAATATGCTCATCAAAGTGTTATGCTATTAAGTGGGATATCTGGCAAGTTTCAGCTTAGGTTTGGGAACGATTAAGTTACGGTTTAAGCAAAGGATAAGTTAGGGTTAGGTTAACCTAATAAAGGCGATATTAGGGTTGGTTCAAGTTAGATTGCAGTTAGTTTAGGGATATTTTCACGTCAGTGTTAGGTTCAGGAAAGATTAGGGTTAGAAGACCTAAATAATTACGTGCATAGAATGTGGTTAAATTACTCTGTTGATATAAGAATAGAACTTGTGCATAGTGGTAGAGTATAATTCCATTTTGGGTAAAATTTATTCTGATAAAGTCTCACAGTGTTATACAGTAATGTTTACTGATGACGTTTCGAGCACAATTTATTACTCATAATCATATCAAGTAAATATTACTGTATAACACTGTGAGACTTTATCAAAACAAAATTTACTCATAATGGAATTACACTCTACCACAGTGCACAAGTTTTATTCTTATCTCACAGTGTTATACAATAATATTTAGTGATGACGTTTCGAGCACAATCTATTGCTTGGTCAATATTACTGTATAACATTAAGAAACTTTATCAAAATAAATGTTACTCACAATGGAATTCTACTCTGTTGATACTCCAACCTAAAACTGAGAGCTATTTTTATCACATGTGAGTGGAAAGTATCCTCTGTAACACTTTTATACAGCTTTTATGCATTTTTAAAATAAATATATGTATTCCATACACAAAAATGCCTCCTTCATGTGATTGGTGCGTTCGAGATCATTCGCTGATTGGTAATTAGTGGTGCTTAAAGTTTAACTTTGCTCCAAAGCCAAAAAGAGAAGAATGCACTTCATTGCCAGAGAAAACACTATATTTGAATCGCGACTTCAGAGGAAGACTTAGCTGTAGATATCCTTAAGAAGAGAAACTCTAGTTCCTTTTCCTGCAGTCACTCTAAGAGTGACATTCTCTAGTGGCCCACTGCTTCTAAGCAATGCAAAGAACAAACTTCCGCATATGACTACTCCAATGTGCATATATCAGTTCACCTGCTCTTGAGGAGCTAAGTACAAGGTCGTTCCATGCGGGTCCTATCAAAATGTGTTTGAAAAGGCAAAGAAAAGATACTGGTTCAATCAGAAGTGCCAATATTGAACACCACGTAAACACCTGTCACAGCATCTCAACTGACTCATCATTCAGAGTCACTCAAAAATTAAACAAAAATCTACCAAAGTCAGTCTAATTCTGACTTATTTGTACTGCAGAAGCCCTCATCATATGCACTGAAATGACGGAGCTTATGTGTTCATCAAAAGAAAAGAGTCCAACCTCTACATTTATCAGGGATCTGGTTGAGTTCGACTCCTCAGTTTTCGTTTTTTGTTGTTATTTCTCTCATCCCCTTCATTTTTTCATTTGTTATTTATAAAAACTATTATTCCAATTTGTATCCATGCACATCCCTTTTACACCTTTATTCGGTAAATCTATTTTCTAATCCGGTGTAATTTTGTTTCTAAGCCCCTTGTAATCTATACGCACACCGTCAAACTTTCATATCAAGTTGAAAATTATTATCACCTTTAGTCTCCTTCGTTTTTATATGGGGAATTATATATACATATATATATATATATATGATTGTACGGCTATTGAGAATGAAATCGCTGGAAAGATATCTTTGCTGAACTTATTGTTCTTTTTTCTCCTTAATGTTTCGATGGTTATTGTAAATGAATGTGAACATTGAACGTTGGTTCGTTGGCCTAGGTCGCTATTGGCGGGTAACTCGAAGGCGCGAATGATTTGATCGTATACATGTTGCAAGAAGACGAAGGAATACGAACAAAAGTACAGTACGTTCCTTGTAAAACATTTGTTTATAGACTTTGTATAGAGTATTGCCTTTAATTGCCGAACAATACAACTTATTACAAGTCCTTGTGTCCTGGAATTAAGGTCAGTATTGTACTCAGTAATTGACGGTTTGAGCATCTTCGGAGATAACAGGAACTTAGGGTTAAGTTCCTTGACAGATATTTTTCACGATTTGAAAAACATTTGACATATAATTAAAAAAAATGATCAATGAAACATTTTCACAACGCTATGAATTACGTAACTATGTGATAGTGAAGGTATGACTCATCGGCTCATTATATTCAACAGAAAAGAAATCAATCAATATATAAATAAGTGGAGACTAAGAAGCAGAAACTGGCATTACGTAATAGGTGTAAAATATGGGTGATGACTAGTACATTGTTTTCTAGATTACAATTCATAATATTATGTGACAACACACACTTTTTAGAACAATATTACGAATTCTATGTTTAATATAAATCCGATTTTGCACAGCATTTGAAAATGACTCATCGGAAAGAAAATGTTGTTCCTTATTACGTCATCTTTTTGTTTATAACTCAATATGGGCGTTTGCTATTCAATCTTTATGAGAACTAGATGTATTTATCCAGTCAAAGTGAGAACGTGAGCGTTTATGAAGCTTCTACCATAAACATTGAAAAGTCATTGTATAGAAAACTACAAACACACACACACACCTGAGATATATGTAATACGCATGTCTCTACTATAAGAGATTAAAAAACTCACTTTAATTTCACGGTTCAGACTATTTTCAGTTTCTCGAGATTGACGTTGATCAGCAATTATCCCGTCTATTGTTTCTACGAGTTGATTAACCTGTTGTTTTGATTCCTCTAGAGCTTTTTTCAATTCAGCATTTGTTGATTCTAGAGTATAACATGACTGATTGGCTCGATTAGAAGCATGCTTGAATTGTTTTACAGCAAAATTAATAAGACGATGAACTATTTCATAACCGATAAGATTATCTGATGATGAATTTGAAGAAGACGATGAATGTATATTTAAAAATGAAGCATCTGTTGATGTATCATTTGTCGTGGTGTAAACAGTTGACGGGCATAGTGCTGTTAATAAATCCAATAAATCTGCTTCAGCAAAATTACTCGGCAAGTTGGAAAGACGAGACTGATTTTTTTTTAAAAAAAGAGGAAAAGATTAGCAAGAATAAAATACCTTTATAAATCCACGGAACACGGTGAAAATTTCAATAAAACAAAAGGTAATCGATAACCAGTGAACATACAGCCTAGCATAGCATAATCTGGATCGGTAAAACTAACAGACAAAGAATAATCACAGGTTGGTTATACCATACCTGTCAGGCCAACTTGTTATATCTTATAAAATGTTATTCCATTCGATTTGCAACTAAATAGCTTCGAGAAATTAAACCGAAAGAAATAATTAAGTCTTATATTACCTGACTTGAGTTACACTCCACCAGTAAGTGTGCGTCGGTGATTATTATTATTATTCATGTGGTGATTATTATTATTATTCATGTGGTCCGGGTTCGATTCCCGGCCGACACACTCCTAAATCTCACCTAACTGATTGTAAGCCCAGTAGTAATGGGGGAAAGTTGGGCGTGAGTTTACCAGCTTAATCCCGTAAAAAGAAACACTTCCGCTTAAAGAAACTTCAAAGCTCGATGTTCCAGTTGGAAAGCAGGGGAATGAACAAAACTTTCCACCAATTTTCCACTTATGAATGATAGAATACTCTGTGTTGTTTAACAAAAGTGAAAGGAATGATCAAAATAGAATTTTATATAAAAGTATTATTTTTTATAAGAGGCTGGTAACATACCACAGCCTGTTGTACTTGATCTACTACACTTTGTGCTTGTTGACACTTCTGTAGTGATGCAGTTAGTCGAAGATTTTCTTCATGAAGTTGTTTTATTCGAGAATTTAACTGGTCAACAGTAGATCTATGGAAGATTAAAAAAACAATACAACAGGTATAATGCTAGTGTGTGAGAGATAAGTACACGTTAGATGTGAAGCAAATGATGTCAAACTTGTTATGATAAATCAATAAGGCTTAGAGAGAAGAAAAAGAAACTACTACAAACTGGTATAGCTTACTTACCTTTCTTTTTCTACAACTGTATCAGAAAGAACGCGGACAGCTTCATTAATTTCTTTCAGAACATGACCGTTATCAAAGGCACTAACGAGTCGTTGACGTAAATCCTATAAGAAATGATAAAAAAAATCGCTACTGAGTAATACATAATTTACTGAGAATAATAAATGAATACGAAAATAATATTATCAATCTTGGAAAAATTCTTTTCTAAGAATTAAATTAATGCGGATATTACGTTGGTGGAATTAACGACTCGTCGACTGGGATGAAACCTGCTAACCCAGTGGCCGATAGTGTTCCCATTCAGATTCGAATCAAGCAAACATTGTTTCAAATCCCAAAGTGTTATCCAACTAGGCTTCTGAGAAACAAGAGCCACCTCACTTCACTAGTGCAACAGGTATCACTTATTATTTGTATTGCATTTCTGTCTTGTAACCGGAAAGTGTCGGGTTCGACCCCCCCCCACTGGGTGCGTACTCTGCAGAGTATCAAACCAGGACGAAACAACTGTGTTCAGTACTTCCTGGTTTTCTGATGATTCTCTAATTGATGTCAACTCGTGATCTTACCAACACTTGCTATTTTTGTCAGGCACTTAAGAGTTCAGCATAACCAACCGATCAATAAGGAATTCAGAATAACTTCAACAAATAAATTAGTATTGATTCAAAAAATTTGAACACTGACTTTTATTACTAACAAACAGTAGTGCAAAACTAAAAACGGACAAAACACTTAAACGGTAACTTTAATCCCCTAAAGATAGAGTAAAGGTTACACATTAATGTATCTTTCTTCATTATGTGAACACATTTCATGACAATATAATAAGAACCTGAATGGACTGAATACATATGAGAAATACCATTTCTTGCAAACAGACACAAAATGAAACAGATTTTTACAAAAAGTGTAGCTAATTTTGGAAACACCAACCAGTTAGTGTAGAAATGAATCAACGGTTTCCACAATGCAAATATAAACACAAATCTTCAGAATAAAGTGACAAAATAAGTGAATTGATAATAGTGTTAAAATTGGGGATTCAATTTTATAAACAGATTGGAAATAAGTACTATGCTCAGTCAAAGACATTATGAATTGATACAAATTTCTAAGCCAACTCTCTCTTTCAGTTCTTCCACTCCCAACGGTTACATCTAACAGCCGTTAGTTAAGATGGACAGAGCGAATTCCTGCTGCTCACTACATATTTCTCTTCACTGATAACAGAATAGCACGTCTACGCCAGGGATAAAAAACACTATACGAGACTTTTGTATCCAGGTTGAGATTTCATCATCAATCAGTCCATTAAGGTTGATGCAACCCCCTCTGAATATGTGAATTAGTCAACATTCTCAAACACTTCACTTGCTGTCTTTAAACTAAGAGTTGATGCAAACTAGTCCTTCACAACCATCTAACATTTGATCAACGTAAATCGCATGCCAAACATACAAAGGTTTCTGCTCAAGGTGTTCATAAGATTCTGAATTTTGTCTGTGACTTCATCTAAAAGCACCATATCATCTGCATACCATATATCTACGAGACTCTGAGTCCCCCTAAAGTCAATCAGCTTGACCGTCCGTTTCTACATCAACGATTGTGTAAACTTGAGTACTACTAAAGGTACTTCAATGTGCCAAGATCAATAAGCATTCCAGAACTGCAGATCGTAATGAAGTCAAACAGCTATCACTTATTCACATGATACCTGAACAAAACCTTCCAATAATTACAATGAATTTAAGACCTGATTTGTAGTTGGATCTTACACCATAACAGGAAAAGTATTGTATGTCATTAATAACCCTTCAATCATCAGCTATTACATCAATATCAATATGTCAATCTAAGGTTACATCATTAGACTTCACAGAAATAAGTCTTACTTTAAACACAATGCAGGATGTCTCCAGTGTGAAACCTCCTTTACCTACCTACCTGGGAAGCATCTACAGACTGGAAGAAGTGATGAGGATAGCAAAGCGAGGATCGGGAAAGCAAGGCAAGCTTTCATTTCTCTCAAGTCTGTGTGGAGGAGATCAACAGCACTCAGCATGAAAAACAAGATGCAGATTTTCAACTTCAATGTAAAGTCAGTGCTACTAAACAGATAAGAGACTTAGCACGACCATCAACAGCTGTCTTCGTTCAATACTCAAGATCAGACGGCCGGTCAGAAAAGATCAGCATAGGGATCTCTAGGAGCGAACCAACCAGGAATCGATTTTGCAACAGATATGTAGGAAGAAATGGAGATGGATTGGCCATACTTTGAGAAATCCATCAAGTGACATCACACGCCAGGCCATCGCTCGAGTGGTACCCGACCGAATGGGAAGCGGCGAGTTGGTCGTCAGTGCGAGGGTAGGGTGACAGGGAGGAGGAAATGAAAGCATGTGGGCACACGTGGAGCCAGGTGAAAACGTTAGCAGAGAACCGGACGCAATGGAGACGTGCGGCTGAAGCCCTATATTCCTCTAGGAACTAAAGGAAACAATAATAATAATGACGTCTCAAGTATGTTATGTTTATTAAGTTGCACTGATACAATTCTTCAGGGTTATACTTCCTTTGACTACTAATTTAACAATGCAATTCATAGAGGACAATCAATAATTTGGCCACTAACATGTGAACATACAACTAAAGGATGATCAATATGTACAGATTAATTAGTAATAAACTACAGACCTTTTTTGAAACGGGAAGTTCGCGGACTGATATACCTAACATCAGAATATCTTAACTGACGGGGGGGGGGGGGGGGGGGGGGAATCTGAGGTTGGCTTTACAGAGCGTCAAAATAAAACATACGGGATGATAATTAAAGCGAAAAGATAATTCATTACAATCTATTATCACAATGTATAAGCATAGTGATTAACAAACCTCAGATTCCTTGTTTTGTAGTCGTAATTGTTCAATCTGTTCACACAGTTGTTGATTACGTTGTTGCAGTTCTGATAGACTGACAATTTCATTATCATTTTTCTTTTCTGTATCGTTAGACTGACCGCCTTCTGAATTGATAATACTATGCTTCAATGATGTGGCTAATGAATCCCGACGACCAGTTAACGCAAATTTATGAGGTGTACTGCACAGGGAGGAGAATTTCGACAAAGAAACAAAAAAACAAATATAGGAAATGTATTATTTAGAAAAGAATAGAGAATCGACTATACGTTAAACTGCGAAAAAAAATGGACAAGAGAATGTCTATCTGTCTGTTTTCGACATAGAACTTTGCACCGATGTGCGGCAGTTCAAGTTGCCACACTCCCTTCATGTAGCACACAAAGCCAGAGAAGAAAGTAGGAGAAATGCATAATATAGACAGTAAACAGAGGTGTGAGACAAAGGAATAGTAATAACGAAGAACAAAACAGTTTAATTGGAAGTCATAAGTCACAAGGAGTGGATGCATCTGCGCCACTGAGAACGATTTTGAGCCATGTCACCAATTGTTTCCAATCATTGGTTTTTACCGTCCCGAGGACTCCAATCAGGAAGTCTCCACCTTCCTACGTGGCTTAGACAAGCGAATGAAGAATATAAAATAATGATCACACTTAGAATGACACATTTGAAAGTTGCTGATGTAAGAAAAAGCGAAATAATATACCATTTCACACTTCACACTGCCTTGCAGCTAGTTCTCATGATGAATTATAGAATGGATAAAGTTAGGATTGGATTTTATCCGGCTAGGAAGGAGTAAATGGAATACATAAATTGACATTTGATTGATAGAGTTTCAGTGTGGAACTTTGTATAGAAACACAGTAGTTTAGTTGCCATTCTCCACATATAGCACACAAATGTAGGTGAAAAAGACATGAACTCAAGGGGATTATTAATGGCCAGAAATGTTTGGGAGAAAGAATAGTAACATGGAAAAACATCAGAATTTAATAAATATGGGGGATCACAACAGGTTGAATGCATCTGCCCAACTGGGGACGACTTTAAGCCACATCACTAAGTCTTCAGCCATTGGTTCTTAGAATCCAGAGGACCCCAACTAAGCATCCTACACCTCCTCCCCAAGTAGTTCAGGCCAGTAGTTACAAACTAAATGGACTACTGCCATGTTTTGATTTGACCAATCTAATCTAAGTCAGCTTATGTTGCCTGACGATGAGGGCGGTGGTTGTGCATGCGTAACACGTGTCCTAGCCACCTCAATCGATTGATTTGCCTTCCTTACCCAATACTACGTCTAACTTCAATAATACTCACTACATTATACAACTTAACACAGGGAATAGAAGGCAAAATTGACGTGTACAATCCTATAAAAATATTAATTGGAAACAATTTCAGTGTTGCTCATTTAGAAATTCTAAAGAAGACCATAAAAATCCAAAAATATAACAGTTGCTCAAAATCAAAGGGAACTGAAGTCATTTTAGAAACATAATTCTAATTATTTAAAAATTGATCATATAGGAAAATACCCCAGGAAACTATTATTATTATTATTGATCTTAACTGGTGAATCAATGAACACCGTTAACTTTTCACTATTCGAGGCAGTTTCAAAAGTGAAATGTTAATCTGCATGCCCATGGGATAAAATTCTGATAGAAGCGTAATCAGGTGCTACAGAACCGATTAACCCTCTGAAATCAGATTAGTAACAGGAAGAAACTCATGACGACAAAAAGGATTAGACTGTTGGGTTGCGTTGTTTGTGCACATAGGTAGACCTATTGGAAACACTTATAATGATAGAGGATTTCGTCATGAACTGACATCAGTTAGAGAATCATTAGAAAACCTGGGAGTACTGGACAGCTGTCTCATCCTAATTTGGGACTCTTCGTCAGCACGCACCCACCAACAGGGTTCGAACCCTTCTGGTTACAAGGCTAGCTCGTAGACCATTAAGCTACTGGGTCCCGATCCAACGGCCCATGAATTCTAACTTCTGCCAATTCACGACACAGCGCGACCATTTCGTAACGTCTTCTTCGATGACTTACTGCCTCATCTTCAATCTGCTGTACCCTAATGGTCACGGCTTCCCACTAGAACCCCAGATCACTGCTTGAATAGGACCAGTCGCTAGTGAGCATCAGATGAATTTTCAAGTATTGGTTTTGTAGGGATTTAGTTTGATTGGACGGAGGATTTCATCATGAGCTGACATCAGTTAGAGAATCATTGGAAAACTAGGTGGGTGCGTACTGATGAAGAATCCCAAACTAGGACGAAACAGCTGTCCAGTCCTCCCTGCAGGTTTTCCAATGGTTCTCTAACTGATGTCAGCTCATGATGAAATTCTCTATCCAATCAAACTAAATCCCTACGAAACCAATACTTGAAAACTTATAATGATAAGCCATAAAGCTTTTGTCATTTAAATATATGAGAGGTGTATAATATAAATAAGCCATTAGAGTAAAACGGTCTAGCAGTATATCTAAAAGGGTATAATGTAAGCACCTTATTTGTATAGACGCTCAACTTTACCTGAGATTAACAACGAACGAGGTCCCAACATTGGCAGCAGCTGTAGAAAGAGGAGTCTGCTTTTTGGTAAGATTGCCAAATAACACTAATCCAGGTGTATATGTATATCCTAGGAATGGCAAATCTCTGACACATTCAGAACCTTGCCATTCAATATCCTCAATCTCTTCAATTTCCTCATTTATAGGTACAGCTGCAGCTTCTTGAATCGCTTGTCTTTTTGCATCTTCTGTAGATCGTATGGGTTTCTCTGGATTAATATTCTCTTGATTTTCATCATCTGGAATATTCTTGATTGCACGTCTGTCTAACACAGTCTCATCGCCTTCATTATCATAATTGTCTAAAGTTGCACACTGTGTAGCACATCCATCGTGGACGGATGACTTAGTGAAACGAACAGGAGAAAAGGTTTTGTTTGTAGAAACATCCAGTATAGCTTCATCACGGGTACGTGAACCACCACCAGAGAAATTCGAAACATCATCAAGTTCTCCAACTGGAGGTAAGTATGGAGGTGTAACTACATAAAAGAAGGAACATTATATGAATTACACTAACTATTGATATAATAGTAATCAGCCCAAAAACAAACTTTGAAGAAATTCAGAATGAAATTTCTACTGGTTTATATAGGTAGATCCACGAAGTGAGCCTGCAGGAAACCACTAAATACTAATACTCTACTTTACATCATGACAAACATCCCAGGAAGTTGCTCATGAATATGGTGGAGATCAACCGAACGGGAATCAAGTCCATGATAATTTAACATTGGTCGCATGTGCAAACTATTAGAAGTTCATTGGTAGATAGTGAATAACACCAGATCCAAGGGCATCAGGTGAATAAAAGTACAATTAGGATACGTGATCATTGATTTTTCTCAGTTTCAAAGTTAGGTAGATAGAATGCTGACCTACATCCTTTAAGAATTGGATTAACCAATCCAATTTATTCTGTGTAACATTGTGATACAGTAAGATTGAATATTTTATATATTTATTACTGTATTACTACTACTATGTCGTCATACTTTATCACATTGCCCATGTTTTATGCTTTTTTATATATCTAACTTGCTGTTCATGATACAGCTTACAGTCAATAGGTCCCAAGTTCGAGTCCCACTCCACCTAATATTTAATCTAGGCAACTGAATAGTATCACCAGCCTTTACATAATTAATGTGTAGTTTATATCCTAGTACATAAAATAGTTTCTTTGGATGACTGAGTTTGGATCAAATACATGTGAAGTATAGTTATAACGCACGAACCAACTAGGTTCATTTCAGTCACTGAAAAGAGACCTTAATCTTTGAGTTTGAATAAAAACGAAAATGACAGATTAAGACAGCTAAGTTCAAACGTTCATGTACAACACCACGATGAATACAACGAAGAATCCGATAGAATATCAAGATGAACGGCGTAAATGGGTATGCAATAAGATGTTGAATGCATTTGAGTCACGTAAAATCATTATCAGTCGTCTTACTTACCCTCTATATTTCTGATTTCAACAACAAGTTCCCTACAGAGCTTCGAAATTTTATATTTTTGAGACTGACCAGACTGAAAACTACTTTCCAGTTTAGGAGTTTGACTACCAAACCACTGGATCATTGGCCTGAACCCCACCCTAACCCATCTACAGAGTTTTAGATAGACAAGCAGTATTATTAACCCTTCAAACAGTAGACGTTATTCCTTGCATAATTCTCAAATTTATCCTTAACGAAACCCAACTACTATTTCTCACAAGAGTTGGTAATCGCTTCACGATATCTCCTATCAAATACTTGCAATTCTCAGACGCAGTTTCTCTAAGCAGTTATTCGTCGTTGGTTTCATAGATAAATAATTGAATGTGATAATTTAGTACTCAGTTGTCAGAAGCAGAGATCTTCCATGCATCAATCTACGGTGCATCGGCGGTTCAATGATAGGATGCTTATCAATCACGCAGGAGATCTGATCTAGGTCCGATTCTCTCACCAAAGTTTACGAGTCATCAGTATTTCTGGAAAGGTTATTGGCGAGACTAACAACCCAACCCACCCCCTTAAAAAAACTTCACAGTTACTGTAATTTCAAAGCCACAGAAGAAGATCATACACTTTCAACGGAAAAATTTACTTTCTGAATTAAAATAATTAATAACTGCATAATGGGATTGAAACATGCGGTTTTTACTGACTCATATAAATTAATTAATTAATCGAAAAAAAGATTTATCAACGAAATTACTGACTAACCTTCTCTTAATCCTGCAAAGTCAACATCTTTGAAAAATGGATGCATAACAACATCTTCATAAGTTAACCGTTTCGATGGGCTAACAATCAATGATTTAATCAAATCAATTGCTGAGTCTGTTATCTCAGAGGATGGTGGAAATTTCAGTGTTTTCTAAAAATGAGTGGCAAAAGAAAAGAAAACGAAAGGAATTTATAGTTCGTTAAAAGAAAAGCTGGGAAGACTAGTGAACTAGTTTACTAACCAGTGATTCTAAGCCCGGGAGGAGACCGAGTGCGGGGTCAGTGACCCTACCCCCCAAGAAATCAACTTAGGCCTTTGCAAAACTGGCGTAGAATCATGCTCATGTGCATGATAGTGTTAAGTTGTGTTGTTCCGGAGAGACTAGAAAATAGCTCATAGATACAAAACTCGACCGGAACAAATTGGATACAGGAAAAGCAAATCATGCGCTGATCGAATTGCAATGCTACGTATCACAATCGAACAGAGAGCACGGAACGGTAGTCAAATCCCTATATCAACTTCAACTTTGAAAAGGCCTTCGACAGTGTATTTTGGAAACTGCTTCAACACTACGGAGTGTCCCAAACTCTTATCATTGTCGGTCAATAGCTATGTGACAATACCATACGCCAACGGAAAACTCAATGAGGCCTTTGGAGTAAGGATATGAGTAGAGCAGGACTGCCTACTATCACCAATGATATTACTGATTGTGGCGAACTGGATCATGCCACAGACAGTGGGAAGTGACAAAACAGGAATATGTTGGACCGATAAGAAGAATCTAAATATGGAGTTTACCGATGATTTATGTCTATTGTCACACAAACTAGAAGACCTATAGGTGAGAACTAATCACTATAAACAGAAGAAATTTGAATGAGGCCACGTCTTTCACTTATTTGAGCAGTATCGTTCCAACCTACAGGTGGGATCGGAAAAGCCAGACAGACATTTATTACTGTGAAATCAGTCTAGAAGTCTTTTGAACTCAGTATAAAGAATAAGATCTACTAGATTTCCCACACTAATGTTGTCTCTTCTGCTAAATGATTCAGAGACTTGGAGCACGCGTCACCAATAGCATTCTTAACAGGCTACTGCAAATTTTCATCAGCATAGGCCTTCGCCGCATACCGAACATCAGACGGCTGGTTAGCCAGAAAGGATAAGCAACAGGGAATTCGGGGAACAAACCAACCAAGAAGCTATTGCCTAACAAATATGCAGAGGGAGGTGGGGATGGATTGAACATATGCTGAGAAGACCGTTGGATAACACTACACGTCAGGCCTCCAAGTAGAACCCGAATAAGAAACGGTGAGTCAGGCGCCCGAAGAGAACATGGAGGAGATCGTGTCGGGGTGAGAGCTGGCTACTAGCCAATGTAGGTAGACAGTAATTGACGTCAATGTTTATGTCCCCGATATTGGTGGTGAGAAAATGAGAACAAAGGCTTTGCGTAGGCGGATACAGTTAGCATATGGATGATCTGACACAGCCACAGAGAGATGCAAGGTTAACTTTCTGTGAGAAACAAGCAATCAAAAGATTGTATTTTCTACTAACAATAATGTACATTAAGATCTATAAATGTGTTGATTTTCCTTAATAAACGATCTGTTGCCTGACCCTTGTCTTCTGTTGTTACAGTGTGAGGAGGGAATTAAAGCTTATGGGGAATCGTGGAGTCACCTGAAAAAGACTGGGGAGGACAGAGTGAAATGGAACTCAAGGAGATAATTATTATAATAATAGTTACCCGATAATCCATAATCTTTTGCATCATTTTATCATCATCTTCATCATAGAATGGTGTTTGACCATAGAATAATTCATATAATAATACACCAATAGCCCAATAATCAAATTCTGGACCGACAAGTAATGGTTCTTGGTTATGGCGTCCACGTTGTCTTAATAATTCAATATTCAAGTATTCTTTTGTTCCAACCATTGTAGGACAGATACACTAATTTAATAAACATTTTAAAATAAAACAAAAATTAACTCAGCATGTGACCCAAACAGCATAGGATTGCCAATAATATTTGTACAAAACATAAGAAAAAAGGTTACACAAAGAGGTCAAAAAACGCAAAAGGTCAAAAATTTTTGTCATATCTAAATTAGCATACCCTTAGAATAAGCTATATGCTGAATACTGTACGGGGGAAGAAAAGTAAATCGGAATCACTTCCATTTTGGCTAATGTCACACTTGAATTAAATTTCGTCTGGTAAGATAAAAACACAATTAATTGTAAGGTGCATTCTACATAGGGTCACTCTCATTGTGGTTTTTTTTCAATTCACTACAAAGGTATGCGCATCCATATTATTAAGGGGGAAAGAAATTGCAAAGTTAACTTACACACGACAAAAGAAGAGAAAAATGATCATTAGAATACAACACAAAAGTAGACCATCTTGACTTCGTAGGTTAAATATACAAACAGAGTAGAACACAACTACTAAAGTACATACAGAGTGTGGTATTAGTAAAAAAAAGAAGAAATAATTAATAACTTGACTGTTTCCTATCACCAAGGTGAAGACTAGTTTCATATCACTAACATGCAAAGATGATTAGTACTTTAATTCAATTTTTGAACATATTGTCTGCCTAAACGATGACTACTATAATCGATCTTCTTACAATGTTTCTAACACCACTACTACTAGTTAGACGACGAGTTTGAACTCATTTTACCTACTTGTGTGCGAACAGCTAAATAATGAGTAACGTTTGATTCTACTAGTATATAAGGATTTATAAGCTAATAAGTGAACCTGTACTTAATCATTGAGTTCCACTAATCTTTTTTCACCGTTGAATGATGAACAACTAATACATGGTACATCCGTTAAAAAAAGTTATACATTTTAACAAAATAGTACATCAATTATCACACAACTAATATATGTAAAGCATTCTGATTCTGGTTTCGGTGGGATGAATACAAAATGTTTATCTGGTTTATACCAAACTTATGCCATTCATTAAGCAGGTGGATTTATCCAATTGTCTCTTAAGAGTTGATTATGCTATAAAATGGTATGCGCTGTTCTCCTGTATGACTATGAAACATGATCATCAAAATTTAAAAGGCCTACCTTTGTAAATACATAATCACTACTTGTGGCAATATCGCTTTAGATTTTGCTCCCTATAAATGACCTGGTATAGCCAAAGGTCGATAGAGTCTGGTCTGTCTCTCAAAATGTTCTCATATGACCACGAATTCATAGTGTCCGCTAGGTAAGTCCTATTATTCATTGTCTTCATACAGATTGGGTATTCTTCACAAAAGTGAAGCGCTTACAACCAGACTGGTAGCCACGTTGGTCTACTTAGGGGAGTTGGAAAATGCTGATTCCAAACTTATGGTGTACATGGACTCCAGAATCCGGATGGATCGCATGGCACGTAAACCCTTTTTTTAGCACCGGCTCCACTGGCTTATCGACCAGACATGTAGTCAAAGGCTCGGAGTGCAGCATTTTAAGACAACCACCTGCTTTGGTCCGGCTGGTATCATAGCTCTCGCACAAATTATGGGACTTTATGTGGCGTATCTCCTGGTGCTCATAATATTCTAAGTTTGCGTTCTAATAATAATACTTTAGATAATACAAGTGAAACAGGAAAGTTGGTCGGTTGTATAGCTAGTACATGTGCTACACTTATCCATTATTGGAAGTATGATGAGATTCAAGGGAGTAGAAGGATACTCAGATAAAGATGTGACAGAAACCAGTGAAATTACTTTTTGTAATGTCAACTAAATAAGGAATTGTAGGTTCCCTTCACTTCTCATTATGTCAAGTTCTGTGTTGTTAAAGTTTGCCTGTCTATCAAATTTCGCATGACCCTATATACCTTAAGTATACAATGTCGTTTTCATGAGGTTTTGAGCACTTTCTAGGGCACAGAACACCAACTTACGGTAACATTAAAACCCATTTTGTGATCATTATCTTCATTATGTTTCGAAGTATCTGACCACACACGTATGTGCATACAAATGTCACTGAATAGTCACACGACTGTGTGTGGTGACTGCAAATTTATCTTATAAACAGCAAGTAAAACTGAGAATACAGATCAAGGTTAACGGAAGACCTGTGAACAGATGACCTAATCTCGCACAGAATTCTGTATCCCTCTCCAAGATGTAAAAGAAAACTCATTCAGCCTTTATTGTTATTATTATTAAAGGTTCAGTCGCTGGTAGGGTTGTGCGTGCTTAGTGCTGAAGAGTCTCAGACTAGGACGAAACAACTGTTTAGCACTTTCCAGTATTCAGTGGCAGTTCTCTAACTGACATCAAACCGTGATCAAAACTTGAAACACATCAAATCGCTACAAGCTAACTCTTGAAAGGTGAATGAGGCTGAATGTGAATATTTAACTTTCTCCTTTAATCTCAGCAATGTAACAGATCAATGCATATGGAAAGGAAAACAAGTCTCCTTCAATACGCTGGCTATAAACATAGATTATGCTTAACTCCGAGATGAAATACCTTAGATAAGCAAATCTGGATGAATTTTCACAAGCGATATCATAAACAATTAGTTCACTGAAAGATCAACCACTCCCATTTTATTTGCAATCAACTGATGCCTATAGCATATAATTAGCTAAAAATAATTTCCTAGATTGCTTTCATGAAACTACTACGAGAAATACAAGCCAAAACAGATAGATAAATAAATAAGGTTAAGTTAGCATTACCTTCCCATCTGCATCAAGTCTGATAGCTGAACCGAAATCAATTAATTTCAAGTGTCCACTTCTTTCAATTGCAAAATTTTCAGGCTTTAAATCACTAGAGAACAGGCGGAGAAAACAATTACGAGAAGAAATAACAACCTTCAATAGATGTACAAAAATAAAATTATTTAAAAGTTTTCTTCTATGTGATAACAAAGCACTAGACTGGACAGAATAACCATTTCAATGCAGATTTTGTCGCGAAGCAACATCAGTTAGGGATCATTAAAAACCAAGGGATACTAAACAGCTATTTCAGCCTAGTTTAACACTCTTCAACTGTGCCCATCCCCGTCAGTGATCGAACCCAAGATCTTCGGGTTACGAGACCAAGGTCGTTGACTATTCAACTACTTGGGCGGGTATTCGATGGAGTCGTGGGTGTGTACTCTTGAAGAGAGACAAACTAGGACGAAACAGCTTTCTAGTGTTCTCTGGTTTTCAATGATCTCTAACTCATGTTGGTACATGATGAGATCTACATCGTATTTAATCCAAATGCCTATTTTTCTAATGACAAATCCAGACAATATATTTCAATTTCTTCAAAGTTTAACACCAAGTTTGATTCAATTATTATTTTTAAAATAAAAAGTATTAAAAGTAATCACATTGTGGTTAGGAAATCGAAACAAAAAGAGATTTTTCTGAACTATTGTCAATACAACTGAATACAATTAAATGATGACTAATCACATTTAATCAGTATGTACAAACATACATTTATCACTATGAAAGTGACATACACACATGTGCTTTTCTTACTTTACATGTACTATTTGACTGTCCGTAAAAACAAAACTAATCCTTACAAACCAACTATAGAAAATTAATCTGATGCTCGCTAGTGACTGGCTACAGGACAGAGTTTCCTGGAGTTCTAGTGAGAAGTCGTGACCAGTGAGGTCCAACCAGTCAAGTGTGAGGATGGAGTTCCCACCAATGACATTAGTTGGTGCCCGTAGCGCTAAATGCATCACGAATTGGTAGAGGTTAAAATTCATGAACTGGCCATTGAATCAGGTCCCAGTGGTTGAATGGTATCCGAGCTTGGCTTGTAACCGGAAGGTCCTGGGTACGAACCCTGGTGGTGGGTGCGTACTGCCGATGACTCCCAAACTAGGATGAAACAGCTGTTCAGTACTCCCTGGTGGTTTCAATAATTCTCTAACTGATATCAATCCGTGATCAACTGATAAAAACAAAACTAATCCTTACAAACCAACTATAGAAGATAAATTGTGTGATGAAGTGATTTTTGTTTCAAACATTATTTCATATAGGTATGCAACCGGTAGACAATATTATTTAACATGCTGATATAACACTAGAATAGGTGTTATGAAAGCAAGACATCGAAGAACAATTTGAAATAGCCCTAGATGAAGGGATTAATATTCATATGATAAAGCATTGATCAGAGGTGATATAAGAAAACTTTGGCTGCAGTAGACTCCAAAAACCAGGTGTTCTGAAAATGATGTTATCACACTTTTCATTAAATATTGGGATTATTATCAAGTTAATATGATATAAGGTAAGGCATGGTAGAATTAATAAAAGTCAAGAAAACACAGTCAGATACTTCAAAAAGTATGTAAGGATAGGGGATATTAACTTACCAGTGAATGTAACCCATTTGATGTAGAGAATGAATAGCTTCTACGGCTTCAGCAGCATAAAACTGTACCATCTTTGAATCCAACAAATGACCAACTCTACAAGTACAAAATATATCAAGCCATTATAGTTGTATAGTTATATTCTTGGTATTTAAAACAAACTAGCAGTGCTAAAAGCTAATTTATACAATCTTCACTTCAAACTAACTGACCCACTGGTTTCAACGTAGAACTTTGCACAGATGTGCGGCAGTTCGAGTTAGCACACTCTATGTAGCACACAAAGCGAGAAAAGAGATTCAAGAGGGAGAGAGATAATAAACAGAAGTGTGAGGCAAAAAGAATAGTAATATGGAAGAACAATAGGGTTTTATTGGGTATTACAAATCACAAAGAGTGAGAAGCATCTGCTCCAGCCATTGAGAACGATTTTCAGCCATATCACCAATTGTCTCCAGCCTTCATTGGTTTTTACCATCCCGAGGACCCCAACCAGTCAGTCAGGAAGTCTACACCTCTCTACGTGGCTGGATGGCTTAAACTAACTGTTGTGGATTTCATTGACTGATGAAGCCATGTTTTCGTTTGACCACCACTAGCTCTCTCTTTTCCAACCTGATCCTATGTCAGTCAGCTGACATCGCTTGTCGAGGAAGGCGATGGCCCGGCACACGTAGCACATGTCCTAACTATCTCAATCGGTGTAACTTCACAACCTGGTCAACTGACTTCCCCTCCAACCTACCTAGCACTCGACCGATGCCTTACCTTAATATTGCTCGCCTTATTATACGACTTACCACTGGAGATAGAACGCAAACACCTATGATCAAAGGCAGCTGGACAGCCTTTTCATGTCTTCCACTTCAAAATAAACTGAGTTAAAGTAAAGAACAGTGTTAGTCACAGTCAGTTTTCACTGACACAAGCGCGTTTACCCAAGTTAGAATAGATACACAACAGAAGTTATAATAAGAACCGACAACATCTATAACAACAGGGATAAAAATTCAGCGATGTTTTCACACAGGCAATCCCTCCAGAATTTTGGATCTCATAAAACTAAATTTCTTCAGTACATTTATAAAAGTAAACAGTGAGCAGAGAAACTAACGTGATCACTCTTATTGACTGAGGGATAGTGTATTATTTTATACTCAAAACCGAAGTCTACAGAGTAAATAATTCGAACCACTTACGCTGATACTTTTGGTTCCTTTTAAAAGAGAAAAGCGTTTATGTATATATATATATAACGGCAGGTGAAAATGCGATGTACAAACTAGGCATGCTATACTACAGTACAGAAAAATAACCAGCAGACGTACAAGAAATATAAGAATGAATTAGGAGATTACCGCGGTTGGCACAGAATACATAAATAGACCTAGTTAGACGTTAAGCACCAAAGGGATGGGGTCAGATCAGTGACCTTGGAACGCTCAGACAGCAAGTTAGTGAAACTAGACAAATAACGCTATAATTATGAATGAAATATGTTCAGTGAAATGTTATGATATGAAACGGGAGATCCGGTAAGTTTTTCTGTTACGTATAGATAGGATTAAGTTAATGTTTAGGCTAAGGACAGATTTGGGTAAGGTGAATCTAATAAGGGAAATATTAGGGTTGGCTAGAGTTAAATTAGAGTTAGTTTAAGGATAGTTTCGCGTTAGGGTTAAGGTTAGAAGACTTAGATGAACACATGTATAGAGTGTGCCTTAATTACTTTATTAACACTCCATTACAAACCAGGAGGGCATTTTTGTCACATGTCAGAAAAAAGGTATCCTGTGTAACAGTTGCATGCCATTTAATTCATTATTTTCATAAATATATGTACTTTACACGTAAAAATCGCTTTTTCCATGACATGCATCCAAGGCCATTGGTGCATTCCTTCTTTTCGATGCTTAAAGTTTAACTTAGCTTCTTGAAATTGTAATACATTATAACGATGAAAACTGAATACTGTAAAACAATATTTTAAAAGCAAAAATGACAACGCAAAGTGAAATAATCAAATTAAGTAAAGGACAAACTGAAGTAGAAGTGAGTTTATACACAATCAATCATACTGAATTACGATTATATATAATGCCTTCATTAACGATCAATTTTAAACGGCTAAAAGTTATCACTGTGAGTTAGAGCTAAATATACTAAAATAACAAATTGAATGAACTCACGTACTTGCTTAAAAATATATATAAGTCACCACCAGGTTCATAATCCATAACAAGATGTAAATACTTTTCATCTTGAAATGCATAATGTAAATGTGGAAGCCATGGATTTCCAATGGCAGTTGCTTGAGCTAATACAGTTCTTTCAAGTAGTATTTGAGATCCCTCCTATACAAACAAAATCATAATCGAAGCATATAATAAAAATTTCAATATTATAAACACCTACCGGATCGTGGTGTAACCAGGCTCCTTTAAATTGTGATTTCATTGCATATACAGAATGAGGCGGTGATACTTCACGCACTACACGGACTATGCCACAAGCTCCCCTCCCAACACATGCACCAAGTTTAAAGTCTGATAATTTAAGACGAAGTTCTGACAATCGTGAGATGATGGGTTTTACTGTAAAAGCAAACAAATACACAAAAAGGCCTGTAAGCTACTTTTCAGGAATGCAATATAATTTCAGCATGTACAGTAATTTGTGTTAAATACTGTCATTGTGTAACATTTGAAGGTAACATATGCTGATATTTATATATCCTTGAATTTCAGAAGCCAAATTATATACGGAAGAATCAATATGAAAAAAAGACTGAATTACCTCTTCTGCGAAAGAATTTTGCAGCCAAGATAGTGGGTGACTGTTCATAGTCATCTGATCCCCGATCGTCCGCATTATCCATACAATCGTGATATATTTGATCAACCAATGAATTTGTGACAAAAAGACAGTCTAAAAGACCATCAATGGATAGTAGACATGGATCAGGATTAATTGGACGATTACGCTTGTTTAAAGGTAAAATTTGTAAACCACTTTGTGAATCCTTTTTGAATGAAAGACTAATTCCCATACTGGGTGAAAAAAGCAAAGGAGGCCTAGTTAGCAAGTCAAATAGATAACTGGCACGTTTAGACGTCCAATCCAAGCATCGAATATCTTCTAGATTTGTCATACAGCTTTCATTCTCTTGACCTTTAACTTTAAATTGAAATATATCCATATCTTGAGTTAACGTTGTACCGTCAGTCTTCAAATCATGTGTAAGATTAACAGACTTCAATTCACTCCGTTTAACATCACTTTTACTCTTGATCTGAAGAGGATGCGGTGTAGAGGAGACCAAAAAGTTGTCGATAGGTTTAATCGGTGAAGTCATTTTATAACCTGAAAGTAAATCTTACATTATGACAAAAGAAAAAGAAAATTAGATAGGGAGAAACAAGATTATATATGTGGAGAATATTTATTTATCAAACAACTGACATGATTTTGAAGTGAAAATATCTGAAGAAAATGAAGCGGCAATCTGGAAACAACTTGAAAGATACAAAAGTTGTTTAGCATTACTCAAACGTATTGAGCGTGTTAACATTGTAGAGAGGAATTTAACATGACTATCAAATTCATTAGAAAGTATATCCACTTTTACTTTAAAAGTGGAACTATCAGAGTTTAAGTATAAAAGGTTACCTATCCATAAGTCTTGTAGTTGAAGACCCATATTACAAAGATTATAAATCTCGTTACGAAGTAACGAAGAAGATTCGGTTAATAAACAAACAGCCTGTAATTCACTCAGTAATTTGTTGTGGTCTTGAATAAGATCAGAAAAACGGTATGTTTCCGGAATGGTGATATTAACTGGGTTAGGAGCTGAAAAGTCGGGAAGACACCATTTAGACGAAAATCGGATCCTAAGCGTCTCGACTCTGTGCACCAAGAAATCGTGTAAACTTGTAAATATGAATAACATTTTAATGCGCAGTATGATAAGACTGTGACTGACAGGGGAGTATTTCAGATTTCCTCTTCTCAAATTATTGAAACGTAAGTTTTCCAGACTCCATTTGACATATTTTATCTAAAACAAAAATAATTCAAATAATAACAATATTTAGTATGAGAAGTAACTGAAATTGTTTCGACGACAATTTTAGAAGGTTAACAGTAAAATCCTGTGAAATTCTACTTAGAAATCCACTATATCATGAAAAATACGTAGCACTAATTCACGTTTCAGAACTATCCATCCATAATAAAAGTTTAGTCACTGCAACTGTTCAGTTTCCTAGTAGAATCAAATCACAAAAATTGAATACAAATACACTTGACTGAATGCTGTCAAGCAATGCAAACCAATCAAGAGTGCTAGTTGCACAGAATTCCGGCTTCACTGGCTCAATTATATTCAACTTCACAGTATAACCATTACTACACCAAAAACAACTGGTTTATTCTTTTTTACTTGAAGCAAGAACTGACTTCCAAAACATGGTGTTTTTTTTTCTTATCATAAATGATCTGATGGACTGTAAACTGAATTCGACCTGAGACAGATCTGGATACTAAGTGTAACATAATATGAGTACATTGACAAATCGACATAAGACTGCACAGAAGGCCATCAGCTTAAGTTACCTGAGTGCATTTAAATATTGTGTCGGTAGGATACCTTAATGTTCAGGTCAGTTAAGTAAGTTCGAAAGGTCCTTTGTCTAAATAATAAAGGCTAATTGGCTGAATCTCAACAGAGAAGAAGAAACAAATGCACAACACGCTAGATAAATGCGTAAGACCAAATTGTCAAATATCATACTGAGTCAGAGTGATTGGAAATGGAATGATACATGGAAATGAAATTCAGAAGAGAATAATCAAATAGAGATCCTGGAGGATGTTCAAAATTTCGGATAAAGTCACGAGTTTGCACCAATGTTTTTGACTTATGTCCAGATGTTCTATTGTTGAATAAATACAGTTGTTATAAGCATGTAAAATAAATTTTCAACCAATCAGATTATTCAAAATTTTCACATCATTTTTGTCAATACTACAAAAATTTGATATAGAGTATTTTTACACTAGCCATTTGATTGATGCTGAACTCTTGCTTAACTGAACTTTATTGGTATTTACCGCATTTAGCATATAATAGGTTGACTGAAGTTTGCCTTCCCTTTTCTTAATCCTAATTAGAGATGTCTTTGACTTGGACATGGTATGCCTTAGGAAAGTTAATCGAAAATCCTACACCAAAGCAGTCACGCTCCATGTAAAAACACTTCAGGTAGAGTGCCAATATACACCCATAATATAAATATTCTTAACCACGCGTGGAGTGATACAGGGCTGCATAGTCCCACCATTTCTCCTTAACCTTATTAAACCCTGAAGGATGTGTATGGTGTTGGTGTAGATCGGTCAACTGCAGAAATGTTCTAACTTTAGGACGCAGACGTTAACGTGTTACTTTATGGCAACACACAAACTATCCAAGTGGCACTTAATCAGTGATTATTGTCTGTAGACATGTTGTATCCATTTAAAGTGCTAAATACCGTTGCTAGGTTAGCGGAAGAATCAACGGTTGACTGACTGACTCGATGGGTTTCAATACAAGACTTCGCACAGAAGTGCAACAGTTCCAGTTGCCCCGCTTCGAATAGCACACAAAGGTAGAGATTTTGGTCTTCAGGTCAGATAATGTGTTTGAAATTAATGCGACCTTGCTGAAAAATCTCCAGACAGTCATAAGGTGACTTTCGCAAATTCACTCTGTTAGGCAGATGGGATAAAGTGAATAGCCGCACTTGTATGCATATCTTTTAATTTTCATTATAGCTTGATTCCACACCGTATTTTCGTTACAGGTATGGAATTTTCAGCATGTGATATCGGTAGCCCGAATTTCGCAGGTCAACCATAGATATCAGGTGTGCATCAGCAGGGGATCAAACCCTGGACTATGTGCATGGTCAGCGAGAGTCCTAACCGCTGTGCCACCGATGCACAGTTTAAGTACATCAACAACAAGAGATAATTGAGTTAGGTTACTGAAGCCTGTTGTCAGATCTGGCATAGGGGCCTGATGTCGAACGTCCCAATTTGAAGTTGGCACGTGGTTTCATGAGATTACCAGTAATGCTTTTCCAGCTCAAGTCGCTACCAGTGGTTGCAGAGTTTAGAGAAGGTTGGAAAACTACCTGTGGCATAGTATTAACACCGGAATGAAAGCAAGATGGTGAAGATGAAGATGGGGATAATCTGGAAAGCTTATTGTGCTTATGGAAGTGCAGGCGCGGTTACTACTTCCTGACTGCTTACACTATGATTCTTTTAAAAATACCTGGGACAGAAAGAGGACTACTGCTGCATGATCACAAATCCCAGGTGAAAACTGCTTTGAGGTCAGTTACAAACGGCTTTTTTGAGTTGGTTTTTAGAGTTGTCGTGATGTATAGTTTTTGGGTTGTTCCTTCTAATCCTTCGTCCCAAGAGTGCAGAGACAGAATAGCTGACTTGCCTGATGTCTGAGGGAAACATCTTACTGCTAATACATCCCTATTCGCCAGCATAACGACTTCGCTTACTGACCCCAACATAGGATGAGCGACTTACACTACAACAATGAGCATTTTTAGTCTAGACGACTTTTCTGGTATGACAAAATCTGCGGGAATATTAGGTGCAGCCAGAGTACCTCGTCGGGCCATTGGGAAATGCACACCCAACAACCACGTCAAAGTAGAATTTACCAGTCAGGTCCGAAAATCACTATACCACATCCCGAGACCGAGAAAGTTCATCTGCAATCTACCGTAAAAGTGGTTCGTATCAAGGTACACTTAGGCTAGTTTCGAAGACAAGATCAGAGGCATGAATAGGTGAGCTTTATGAAAAACAGTTGAAATAAACCTCTCTAATTCTCAGCTGCAAATTGAAAGTAAAATATTTAGTTCTCGTTACAACTGGAAAAGCTGATAATCACAAAGATGAGATACCAGAGTGTTCTAATGAATCGGCTATAAAGCTATTAGAAAAATGAAGGTGTGTGAATTCACCTAATTGGTATCTCTTTTGGAACAAAATTACCTTACCACTACAGACTTTAAGGTCTCGGGAAACATTTACTCAGCAATCAACTAGAGAACAAAAACAATGCTGAAAGAATAAAAAGCTGCAAATAGAACTATAAACTGTCATGACAAAAACATATCTGCGCATGCCCCAAACTGACCCCATGTCGATCTAAGGTGGGAATAGATTCCTGTACATTTTAAAGTATTGACCGGCAACGTGAGGTTATCCACTGTTTATATATGGTATTGATGGGAGATTACATTGGATAAGTCAGGTGTGGTCAAACCAAAACAATCAATGAAGTCCGTGATAATTGCTCTCAGCCACATAGGAAGATGTAACTTATGTGATGAGAGTCCTTAGGATGATAAAAACCAATGGTTGGAGGCTCTTGGTGACATATTTCAAAATCCCTACACAAGAGCATTTGTATTCATTATCAACAACCTTGAAAATTTCGGAACTTTCAGTATTCCTCATCCTTTTCGCACATATATTCATACTTCATATTGCATCTAACTTTTTCTCTTCTATCTGACTAGCTGACAAATTGCAGAAGAAATTAGCGAAGGAGCTAATCAGTCAGTTATCAAGCTCTTAATGAACACAGGTAATAGTGAGAATATATATGAAAATGATTTAAGAATATTAAAAACTTCAGGACTCTGAAGACAGCCAAGAGGAGATACTTTCTCACCTGTGTGTACAATTTTACCATCAGATATTTCCCAGCCAGGCCAGTTAAACTTCCTTAAATGGCTAAGGTCCACGATCATACTTCATTGAATGATCCCGCGTTTTGGTATGATCACTACCGACATATTCCTACGTCTAAAATGACTTGAAATTTTTCGCAATAGTCCGTACTTATTTGCTCCTTGATACCATTTAGATATTAAAACGCCTCGCATCACTTCACCACATCTTTCTTCACTTTTACATATACCCCTTAGAAGTGTCATCTGCAAGTGGTGCACTTGCACAAAAGACGTGGTGAAATCACTTGAGATAAGAATCTCACCCTTCAGGAGTGCCTACGATACAGCAAGGTAACTAATACCGACTGATTAGTCTGATTTAGTGTATTACGGTGACCATAGAAATGCCAAGTCCACCTAGTAGCAAAAGTTATATTATGCAAATCCACAGAGCTTATTAAATAGCTGATTATATTAAACTTATAAAATAAAATGGGGTTGAACATACCTGAAATAGAAAAAGGAATACACCGTTGTAAACTGCCACACTGTTTTCATCCAGAATAACATTTGCTGGCCAATCTATGCTGTAATTAAGTGTTAAGTCCTTGATTAAATCAAGACCCAATTTCTCGGACAAACTGTGCGACAAGGAATCTGCATTCTGAAAACTGAATGTAAGGAAAGATGACTCAATATGCCGAAACGCAGGCCATCCCTGGCAAGTTTTAGATGAATCTGTTAAATATCCTTGAAGGCTAGCTGTGAGTTCAAAACTGCAGACCTTCCCACTTGCTCGAGAGCGAAAATCCTCAAATACTTGACGTGCAAAGTCATTCATAGTGTCGCCAGAACCAAAAAGGTAAACTGCTCCTGCTGTAGCAAAACAACCTCCAATACCTCGTAAAGAATTCGAAATAGGATGAGGAACAATTAAAATTTTTAACAATTGCTGGTTGATCGACGCTATTTGTTCATGAACAAAGCTCTCTAAGTCTGACTTGAGGGACTTTATACTATCACAAGATCTGTCGAAGAAACACGTCTGTTGTCTAACGGGACGTTCATGTGACTCAAAATCAAAACGTAGCTTCTGTTTTCCTGATAAGAAATCAGAATAAATCGGAGGGAAAGTTTTGTACACTCGAGAAGGATCCACGGCAACCTTTTCCAGCAAAGAATAATCTCGGATCTTTTCACAGATTGAGATGAGCAAGAACAGAGCTTTAAGTCCCTCAACTATTTTATCAAAGACAGGAATAAACATCTGTGGTACATCAGGTGTACCAAGTTCGTTGATCTTTGGCTTCATTGCAGAACACCAGAATTCGGGATCATTAGGAGGTATATTACAATCAATATCAACAAACAATTTGACAAATGAATCAGTATACGATGCGGATCCTGATAGCAAGTGGACCAATGAATAAAGTAAGGGATGGAAAGTATAAATAAATGCAGAACGAAGCATACATACTACATAATGATCACACCCGCAGTCTTCTATGAAATTTGCAGAACAATATAATATATCCAGCAGTTTCGCGATAGTACGTGCATCTTGTAAATTCATCATGTTGCCATTGGTGACGTCTCTTACAATCTTTGATATTACTTTTACACGATAAAACCAAGGAGTCAGGCACTGACAAAGACTGAGCAGAGTAAAAGTACCACAACCACGACTCATACCTTCCAGTTTGTTTAAGAACTCATCAAGTTGAGATAAAAATACATTGAGGCAATCAGCAAACGAGAAGGCACATGGCTGTGAAATGAAGTCCACTTCTCTAACTACAAACTGAACTGTAAATCTAAGGAACGATATATGTTCATTCCAGCTTGCAAACTTCCGTAGCAGGGAGTCAAGTGCATTGAAAGACAAGTGATTGACACATACGAGGCGGGATTTGAAATCAATTTCTGTCGTTCCACGTTTTGCCATCTGTGATACAAACGACTTTTTAGCTCCAAGTAGCACCCAAATAACCTCACGTATTATTTGGTACTCTGTCAATTCATATCTATCGTCGATTAGTCCCTTCAGTGATAACCACGAATTTTTAGTGCACTCCACAGTATGGCTCGTAGAATAGTTTTTCAACCAATATAGAGGTTGCAAGCTTTCACAAAAAGATTTGAATGAAAAACACACATCATTTTGACTTTTAACATCTCTTGGCGGAAGTTGATCCCAGCGTATTGGGTATGAACGATCACATTTTTGAATTATTTTTGTGACTTCTTCTTCAGAAGATTTTGAATTATATGTTTCAGATGAGGAAGAATCAGAATAGAACTCAGCTGAATATCTATTGCACATAAATACAGCAGAAACTCATAAGAATACCTATCTCGAGGTTTAAATTCATATTTGCACGTCCTAGAGACCACAAACAAAGATATGGACTAAACAAACAAATGTTATTGTAGAGAGACATACTAGAGACCGATTAGACTTCCTTTTTCATTTTAAACTATTTTTAAACTTTTTTTTATAAAATTATATATACATAGCTACAATAAAATGATTTACAGGTCAATGGGAGAAAAAGATTCTTGTCTTATATTAATCCTCAGGATTAGGAGAATAGTGGCAAACCAATCTTTCTTTTAACTATTCAGCAGAAGTTAGTGATATAAAAAGCTAAGTAGAAGAAATCCAGCCATTTGCAGATGGAAACGAAAAATGTGTGCCTAGACGGAGAGTATCCTAACGTGATTTTTGAATTTTGAGGTGACATCCACGCAAGTAGTCGGTTCTAGAGGATAGGAATAGACTAAATAAATCAGCACACAAGTCTTTACATACGGTATGATGTTTCGAATTGGAGTTAATTGTTAATCTTCAACACGAAGGAAGAAATCAATCTACTCGATAGGACCTTTCACTTCATGAGTATTTTTAGATCTCCTCGTTCAATTTAACCCCCATTCTCTGCATCCTTTCACCGTATCTGCTTTGTACTTGAATGATCTAAATGTGGTCTGGATCCCTGGACCCTATGTTCTAAGTGAGATGTGATATTAGTGGGGCGTAATTTACGAAATTCATCGGCGTCAAGACCTACCGTGGCCCAACGGAGTGCCTGTAATGTTCTGAAACTCTCCACATTTGTTGCCCACTATTTAAATGGAAGGTTTAGATTATGCTTTACATCCACCCCTAGACCATTATACTTGGCAATCTTAGGTGGAATACTTATGTGTGTTGATCATAACAATAATTTCCGAAAGCCAGTGACGACACCGTTCAATCATTAAATCATCTTGCGAAGCAAGTGTACCAGTATAATGGTTTAGAGTCCCGAAAGGTTTAATATCGTTCAAGGGTGTCATATAGGACCACTTAATCTCCGAAGGTATCCGATATGAAAAATGAAAAGAAGAGGTGGCTAGAACCGTACCGTTATACATACCACCCTTCAGTGGTCGTCTTTCTGAAAAGACGGAGTTAAGATTCCTTCACCGTTTGTTACTCTCAGAATGCTGGTTGGCGGCATCAAGGGTAATTCTGTACCCTATTTTAACAACAGTACTAGCTAGATTAACCGAATATTTTTTCTTAACCGAATCTCAACTAAAGAGGTGGCTACAATCAGGTGCTATCCACTGCCTCAGTTAGCCTGAGGTATACTAGCTTATGCCGCCGCCTCACACAACTGTAGATAATAAATTCAGCCATTATTAGATGCATATAGCCAAAAGACTTCAAGATGTCGGAAGAGGTGACATATGAAAATTTGGTGGCCTATGATGAAACACTGAAATATCCTGATAAGCTTGCACCTCATGGAGTTACATTCGAATTTACTTATAAGGCTGTAGAAATTAGTCTACATTAACAAGCCGAAAATAATTCTAAACCAGCAGAACCTTTCCGAACGTCTTACTGACACAAAAACAAGTTATTTTGTTGTCCGCAGATATGCAGATGGTATACCTGGCCGCCTAACTAATTCATCAAATGGCTGAAGACGGACCACTCACAATCTAAACACGTCATGGGCCTCTCACCAATATTAACGATGCTAAAAGGAACACGAAAGATTTCTCGCCTATATTATATTTCGCAGTTTAATGATTTCAGATATTTGAAAACACGTAACTACAGTGCCGCGAACCACTGTAAGCTACGAAAACGTGACGAAGAACCAAAAGAAAGAGAAATAAATGAAGCAGATTTTCACTGCAAGCAACTCATCTCGAACTAGAAGGACTACCTTCTCCTGTATATGAGAACATGAGATAGGGTGATACGACCGAAGATTCACCCGAAGCATTCGTTCATAAAGTTGTAAGAAAATCCATATTCAGGAAATTCTATTTGCTACTGCATTCTGGTATGAAGCTGCCAGAAGAAGTGCTGACGAAAAGGATTTCCAACAGGTTGCAGACCTTTATCAAGAGCCGTCTTAGCTAACTCTATGCTGAATATCAAATGGCTTGAAGGAATAAGTAGCACGAAACTCTGGGAACAAACCAAGCTAGAGCTGATCGCTCGAAAAATATGGAGGAGAGAATGAGGGTGGATCAGAGATACATTAAGGAAACCGTCGAATGACATCACGCATCAGGCCCTCGAAAGTAATCCCAATGGGAATCGACGAGTGGGTAGTCTAGGGTGACATGGGGGAGATCGTTTGAGGCGGAGATGAAAGAGTTTAGGCAACCATGGACCCAGATGAAGAGGATGGTAGAAAATAGAAGGAAGTGGATACGTGTTGTTAAAGTCCTACGCTCCACTAGAAACCCAAGGGAACACTGGTAATAGTCGATTCATTCTTCACCTTCTCCAGGGTTTCTGTTATCTTTCCTACACTTTGTTCCGTCTGGTGCTCTTGGTTTTTTCTTTTGAAAATTCGTTTTTGTCTGAAATGGTGTATGATATTTTATCGACGTGGTCTTGGCGATTCATCAGAACGATGCCAGCACTTTTATCGGGGCGGGTCAGAACCAGGTTTGTATTCCTTAAAACCTCACGCAGTTGCTTTCCGTGTTCGGCTGAAACTAATCGTTTGACTTTTGGTTTTGTATTCACTTACTGATGACAGTTATTCAATACTGTGAACTTGAATTTTTCATAAGATTTCTTGATCTCTGGTAGGTCATTTGTCTGATGCATTAGTGCTTCAAACTGCACCTTTGTGTCCAAGTCACATGAATTTGTCTAAATGTCACAGAATTTTGGACCCAACGAAAAGGCTTGCAGTTGGACGTCAGAAGAAAGAAAAACATGATCCACTCCTTATTCTCAGGAATAAGAAAGATATGTCCCAGTGATACAATTGACAAGGAACTGGGGCGACTCAGACAAGTCTTCACAGAAAATGGGTATCTTCCAGGACTCATCGGGAAAAGCATGAAGTTAAAGCAAAACCTCGAAAGAACACGGATGGTACCGAAGAAAGCACTTTTTTGAACGTCTGGTTTAAAGGGTAACGGGTGATGATAAACGTTATCGTGATATGTTATCGCGCGCTGTATGGGTTATCGTGTTCACGCCTGTAGAGGCGTTATAAGCGTTCATTTTTGTGAAAGTAAATTATGTATGACTGGTTTCAGGCTTCTATAGCCGAAAAAAGCAATATTTTCCAGTATTGTGTTCGTATTAATTGATAAAACTGTCATGATATCCCAGAGGATGTATCACTTTAATAACTCATCGCTTATAAGAAATTTGGCATAGAAAGACTATTATTTGCGTTTTAGAGCCGTAATAGTTTGTTATTTGCCAGTTTCTTGAGGATATTAAGGTTGAAAATTAACTATAGGCAATGGTTGTTTTCATAGCAGTTATTCTATGATAACGAGACATTTGAAGGATAACTAGCCCACAGACACCAGTTAAATATACGTTTTGAGGATGCCAAACACTTTTTTATCATCATACGTGATGATTGAAATATTCCATAACACATCGAAGAGAGCATGCGATGAATGAGACAATCTGCTGAATTTCCTGGTGATCATATCCATTTCGATGAAGTTTCTAGTTAAAATCGCTCAGGTGATTGTAATTTATAACCTAACTTATTGTGCCTGTAGAGATGTCATGCATTCCTTGTAAACACCCGTTTATACGACATATTAAATTATTATTTGCTTGGTGCTATACTTTAGAAGAGGAACAATGTGTGTGACAGTGAAAACCGCAGAAGAATGCTGTCATGACCAAAGAATGAGAAAGGAGAATGAATCTTTTTCAGCAAAGGTAGGAAAATATGAAGCGTTTAACTTTTACATTACTTATTTCTAATTTCAACGATTTAAAAATTACACTTTATTCACTTACTTGCAGATTTTCGGTGAAGTCAGTCAACCTGGTCACAGCAATTACGCATCCCCGAAGTAATTACGAGAAACAATTGTGTAAAGACATTCGCTTATTATTTTTCATTAAATATATTTAACAACCTGCTCACCATACTTTTCTTATTCTATCTCAGTGAAACTAAATTTTTCATTATGACGAGATGGAGGCCTGACCTACCAATGAGACCTGAGAAAGTAATTGTAGGCATAATTCAACGTAAGCGAAATCGTACTAATATTGCTACAGCTCAACCTATTGAATTACTCGTCTCGTGTAGACTTCATTTTACACTACATGTTAACACCCGTAGTCATATGGATTGACATCACGCTTTAAGTGAAATAATAGTAATACACTGCTTGTGATTATACTTAACTTCATACGAAATCGAACTCAACTACAGGGCCTAAGTTGTATTCTTATTTTTCAAACAGTGAAGTTAAGTATTTTTGTCATTAGCCCCTACAGATTTATCTATGACTAGGAGACGTAATCGCGTAACTTTAGGCAGATTTTTAGACTTGAATGAAGTACTTATAATTCACCACTTCTATCGATGGATAGTGTTCATACAGAATTGCACTTACGTATAGTAACGAATTCATATCCTAGGGAGCACCGGTCTAGCATGCCGTACTCCCAACGCGAACACACGAACAGAAAGACAACAATGTTAATGGGAAAAGTTTATTTTTATTGTAATACGAAAGTAGGTAATTTACACATTAAGAAAATGGTCTATTTGTGCGATTACTTCTCCCGCGTAATCTGCGGCAACCACATAGTGAGTGCAGGACAACCACATTGTTAGCATTAAATGAATTACTTACTTTTTGAAATTCCCCTAATGAATTCTCAAATTCCTCCCAGCTAAAGAAACGCCTTCCCAGCATTACTTCACCGAAAATTCCACTGACATCTGCAGTGCTTTCACTCGCATTACCTACCTGCAATAAACTAAAAAGGCTTTGTCAATAAGTATCCATCTGTCTCACAACTGTTTAAATATAATTCCGTAGAAAAAGCAATATTGAAA